TATTCTTTATTATTTTTGATAACAATTTTCCAATTACTACGCAGCGACCAACTGTTTATGACGGGTCATTAACTAGAACGTTGCAACACCGTATTCTCAATATCATGCATGTTCTTTTGTTGTTATAAACTATTAATAGTCCTTAATATTTTTAAAGACAAATAATTGTAAACTGTCGCTTACATCAGAGACATGGATCATGCTTGCGTGATAACTAAGGAAAACTAACTTATTTGTACACCCCAGGAGGATGTACGCGGAAAACGCTCATAAACCGCTAAATCATATAGCTGTTTAGTAAATATTTTGCATACATTTAACTAAAAATTCACTGATGGTGATGAACATATAGTTTGAAAACATTATATTCTTTAACCATTATCGCCGAAAAAAACTATTTAACTACAAAACCCTAAGGACCTCCGACAAAATTCCAGCACAATATTACATTTTACATTAGCAAAATAAAAAAGCAATACTTATATTTTCATCTTACATAATTCATTAATCAAACTTTTAACATAAAAATATCTTTGGCAATTGACAGATCCCTACTCTGATCTTTTATTTGTATAGGAATAAATTTAAACATGTGCTCTTTTGTTTAGGAATATTTTGTAGTGAAAGTCTTATATATTCACTAATCTCATAATTAGAATTAGACAGGTCAGGAATTTATACAAACAGTTGTTTAGTTAACTATGCTCATTTTAATCCCAATAGAAACATTCAAATATTTGTGGTAAAAAACATGACCAAAGTACCTAGTAGTCGTTTACCCGGTGGTGATCCCATTAAACTGATTATAGATTCGAATTGATTAGAAAACACAAATAGAAACATGTGTTTCCGTACAACAAAATCGGAAGTAAAGTGAACAGTTAATTGACAGAAATATGTGGTCAAATATGTTTTAACAAGGAAATAATTATTTCAGAGAAAGACGCAAAGATCAGTATGACCCGTATTGTGTAATTAGAAAGTTTATTCAATTCTAGGGCATACATCATAATTTGATAGTCCATGTGTAATAAAATTCAAAATTTTCAATACAGATTATGAGATACATAAAAAATATTAAAGAATAAGAAGCTTTAATTAAAAAACAAAAACAAAAAAACAAAAACAAAAAAAAAAAACGCATACATATACAAATTACTTACAGTCGAGCATCGGGAAGTCATTAACATATCTTACGAAACTTTAATTTGAAACCGATATTTGCGCGCGCTGAAGTGATTAATGTTTATTTGAAAAATAAAAAAAAAAGAAACTTTTATGGTTGTGTTCTAAAAATAATGGGCGGCATAAGAGGAATTTCTTATTCATTTTACAACACTTTGAAAAATTACTACAGAAAATGTGTTGTTGTTTTGTTTTCAACAAAAAGTGTGTGTGTTTTAAGTTTATTTATACTCGGCGCCGGAATAACCATATGTCCGAGATTATAGCATCTGGGACGTCTTTTTCAAGCAGATTCTTCCTGGAAGCCCATTCTTCGTTCTTTGGTGGTAAAGGAGACGACAATACCGTCAAGGCATCAACTTTCTGACTGACGACAACAAAAACGGCATCTATTAGCGCCAAACCTCCAGAGTAAGTCACGACAGGTCAACCAATCACCTCTGGTACTTATGATGACTTGACTATGACCTTCCGTGTGCCTTCTCCGCGACGTGCACGCCTCTGGAGGTATTTGGAGAAGTTTCAACAAAAACTTCCAAAACACGCCATTTATAAACCATTCATAGCACTGACGGCTTCGATGTTCTCATCTATTTGCGGGAAATGGTCGACAGGGAAAACCCTACGTAATAACCGCACACCCTGTTAACAACAGATTTTCCGCAGTATATATTTCAAGCTAGTGAGGTTTAAAAATACATGTAGAATCTATCGATTAACTACCATAAGTTGGTTGAGTGTTGGCGGTAAAAAAAAGAAGATATAACTTCCTGATCAATTTTCACTTAGGTTGATTCAGTTTTGAATAAGCTTTGCAGAGATGTATTTTTTCAAGAAATATTTAGCTTTAATATTATCCGACGCCGTCAGTAATGAAATGGGATTAATTTTCTGAAACGTGATTTTATTCGAGATTTGCTTCTGGAGAAGACAACCTTCTGTCCGTAGAGCATGAATATTAATACTCATCACAAGACAGTATCTTATTGATCTCAATTATGGTACATCTAAACGTGTATAATTTTTATGTTCAATAAAAATGTTGCATCACTTGCAGTTGTTATTATCATTCAATAATATTAAAATGACATAAAGTATTTATGATGAACAGTCCTAGAATATTTTGATAAGGAACCGTCAGTTGTAAAATGTTATTGTTATCTGATAATGAACAGTCGTCATACTTGCTGATATGTCATTTATTATTGACAGTTTAGGTTTTTCAAAATTTGCATGATTAACAGTCCGAATGTAGACCTCAATTAAATGTTCTGGAATATTAACAAAATGAATAGTCAACCACATTAACCATATATATGAATGGTTGAACACAACAGTAAGGATAAATAGCGCAATGTGCATATCTTTTTATTTTGGTAGCATATTTTAAGCAAAAAGAAAAGAAACTATAAGTCTGAAACATTCTCTCATAGCCTCCCCATCAGTACATTCAGTGCTTTGATATATAATATATGGTAAACTTCTAAGAGCTGAGAAAGTAATTTCTTGCATATACAGTATGTATTGTTGGTATTATGTTTCCATATGCATTGAACTCTAAATAAAACAATTGTGTGCATCGTGGTCCGACGGGAGTACAACAATATATACAATATACCTGTTTTAAAATAAATGCAAAAATCATTTTACAAAAATTGTTGTTATTCGTGTGCTATTTACTTTTCGGACAACATTGGTTCCTTTTTTTCCTGTTTCAATGTTATATTTCATAATGCATGAAAAGTCAATTTACCTATTTAAAAAAATGTTGTATTCAGATGAGAACTCAGTAGCGACGTTGTACAATATCTCTGGTTCTTTTCAAAGAAATAAAACATAGAAAACAAAATGAACAAGCAATTATCTTAGTATTGCAAGTCCCCTACAGGTTAGAACCCCAGCAACATTCTGATGGGCTTTTGGCCATTCAATTTTTCCAGTGAATGAATGACATGAATGAACTTCAATATTTTGAGTTCTAAGTTTGTCTATATCACAGTAATGTGTTAAGTTTCACTGCCTAGTAAGGAAATTATGTTTATACAACAGATAATCAAAAGGTCCAATTTTCTCAGAATGAATAAGAATAACTAATGTTTCAACTTTTCTCTTTTTTAAGTAAATTTGTTGGAACAAATCTTTAAAAGTAATCTCAGGAAACAGTTTTTATGAACAGACAGACATACATACAGACAGACTGAAGGAGACTCTAAAGTTATTTTTTCAAACATCCCTGTTACCAAAATATAACATATTTTAATGCAAAATTCTTAAAGAGAAGATAACTCTTGAAATAAAGATGCTAGATTTATGAACATTGTCATACATGATGTGAGTTTTACTTTAAGTTTAAAGGAATGAAGAAGTTGGAGTAAAAAATACCAATTTCTCGAAAAAAAATCTATGTTCAAGGGGGACATAATTCTAAAAATAGTCTTGCTAGAGTATTTAACCTTCTCAAAAATGTTGAGTGATAATAAGAAACATATATATGAAGTTTGAAGTAGATACATTAAGAAATAAAGAAGTTATTTAAAAAAGACAACATTTTTTTCATAAAAATTCTAAGTTCAAGGGAGGTAATTCTGATAATTTTTGTGCTAGAGTTGTAAATTTTGTCACATATGATGTGGTTGATGACAAGAAACTTATATTTAAAGTTTGAAGTAAACACCTTAAGAAATAAAGAACTTATAGTGATAAAGCTTAAAAATTTAAATCAGAAATCTTGAAATTCAGTCTATTTGTTGCCATAGCAACCAGAATTTTCAACATAAAAAGAAAAGAAAAAGATGTGCATAATCTCCAGACTGCCATCTACCCATATTTTATGTTTCATAAACATATTTTCAGTACTTTTTGAGCTATCACTGGATCCAGTTTATGTTTTAATTTGCCATATTTTCAGACTATTAGTTGCCATAGCAACCTTAATTTTCAACATAGGAAGAAAAGAAAAAGACGTGCATAATTTCCATACTGCCATCTATCCATATATCAAGTTTCATTAAAATATTTTCAGTACTTTTTGCGTTATCGCGGGATCAAGTTTTGTGGACGGACGGACGTTCTTACCAGAGCTACATTATGGGGCTTTCTTTTGTTATTTCTTTTGTTCTTTTTAACCCCACAATGCAGAAAATAACTTCACAAGAGAAACGGAATGAATGACATCAAAGACATCTATTGTTATGAGAACAATAGACCAAACCCCATAATGTAGCTCTGGTTTGTACGGACTGACAGACAGACGGACGGACAGACGGACGGAGGGTAAACCTAAAGTCCCCTCCGGTTAAACCGGTAGGGGACTTATAAATAAACGGTAAAAAAATACCACTGTTAACATAACAAAAACATTATGGCTGTAAAAATCTTTATTTAAACAAGAGGATATTATTGTACATAAACATACAAAGATGAAAAATAAAGTATTGTACATTGTATTAATAATATCACATGCAGTCAAGTCAATAAAAACATCATGATTTTCTGGCAGCAAAATGTATTTCAGATAATGATTTTAGTATTTTGATCCATGTCAGGCGTTACACCAACAATAGCTTGGTTAGGAAAAAGATATGAACTTCGATTGCGCCGTTGTAGAATAATGTAAGGTTCGAGTTCAAATGCGCTCGTATAATCTTGAAAATCGATTGGCCTGAGTGATTAATTAAAAAGCATTTGAACGATAAACCGTGCATTATTATACTATAATAAGCACTTTTTCCATTCTTACGTGGTGAGAAACAATATGTTGAACAACATTGAGCGTAAAAATAATTTTCCTGGCATTAGTTGGTTTATTTGATAGGTGATAGGGGAGTAGTGTGAAGCGTGTTAGAATTGATAATCTGACATAATAACACTGATTGTATGGAACGGTAACATAAACCTGAAAATGCATGATGAAACCTTTCCTCTTGTATTACATGTTCTTTCTCACTTAATGACAAATGGTATTTTACATACATGCTTTTGCAGAACAACAATTTAATATTCAATTTACAGATTTTTAAAGAATATTCCTGAATAATAATAATGATAATTATAATAATTATAATAATAATAACACATATACATATATTTGTATATTTTTGTTCTTAAACATTACCAATCTAAGATTCTTAAGTCATTCAATACAATGACATCAATTATCAATCATTGCAGAAACATTTTATCCTTAAACCTGCTGAATTTACAAAATAGACATGTCCAGATTCCATTTAATTTGGGACCATTTGGCAGCGTATTTTTTTTTAGATATCAAAATACGCAAGCAAGTCGACAACTGGAGTCTATTCAGATGAAATGTGATACCGATATTGAGGCTAAACGGCCGGAGATATGTTTTCATCCTTATGAACATGATATGGTTATTGTATCCATTGCAACTGAAATATTCAATACACATGATATTCATTATCAAATAATTATTTAATCAGTGTCTCTACTCGTATATGGCAGGCATTGTCAAATTAAGTGTACGTTAAATTGTTAATACTAATAATATATACTTTCCAGTTAAGTTTTGAACACGAAATGGCTTAAATATAGACATTGTTTAGCACAAATATGTAGAGCATTGCCCTATTCATTGTTTTCAAACACAAGCACTTCTACCAAAAATCTAAGATATCGATCTGTATCTAAATGCCAGTGTAAGATATTGATACAACGTGTACACTATCATAAAGCATTATTATCATTTAATTGCTCTCTGTTCAAAACAGGTCTTCCAGCCATCTGATATCGTGCAGGTGCATCAACTCTTTGTCTGAAATTTAAATATAAATTATTATTACCACAATTATATTTTGAAATCATTAGTATCTGCATCAAATACTTTCACAATGCATTTCATTTGAAAATGTTTAAAATGTTATTATATTATTCGCTTATTAAGAGACTCTTCAGATATCCAAACACAGTTTATTCCATTTACAAATACACGAACATTGTATATATTTAAATGACAGGAATATATAATTTAAATAAGAACAAACATGTTGCTGCATAATTGTATTGCATTTTAAAAGACGATATATACAAAAATAGAAAAGTACCTGTGTCTATAAATGCAAAGCCCGACTATTATAATTATTATAGCCAAAACAATACCACCAAAACTCGCCCCAATCACCGTATCGGTATGATTTTGTTCTTCTTTGTTGTCCTTTATGCAACCTACAGAAGACAAATATACTAATACTACAACTAATTTGTTTGTTTGATTGGGTTTTACGTCACACAGACATAGTATAGGTCAATTGGCGACGTTACAGCTTTACTGGTGGAGGAAGACCTCAGCAGCCCTTACTTGCATTTTTTCAGGCATGAACGGGCACCTGAGTAGAACCACCGACGTTCCGTAAGCTAGATGGATAGCTTCCTCACATGAAAGAATCCAAAGTCCCTTCGGGATTCGAACCCACAGCGGTGAGAAGCAAGTGGTTTGAAGTAAACGAGCTTAACCACTCTGCCACGGACGCCCCTACTACAACTAATAATAATAAAAATGAAAGCATTACTTAAAATCTATATCTAAATAGCTTTAGTTAGAAAACCTTGCATACAAATTCTGTATTTAGGAGAAAATTAATATTAAACGTATTACAACTTTGGTTTTTTGTAGTTACTAGAATCTGATATTCAGTTGCTAGATTCTAAAGCTGTACTTATACAAATTTTTGTTTGTTACATTAGCTCAAATACGGATAATCCATAATGGCGACAGTCTCGAATATTACATTTCCTTCATAACATTTTGGTACTAAATGTGTTATCAATGTATTTTATGTATCAAAAAAATCCTATTACATGTATACTTTTTGCACGTTAGCTATCATACAGCAAGTTTTTTTCAGCAACGAGTATCATGTCCACAGTGTGCAGCGACATCAATTTCGAAATTCGAGTGAGAGTTAGTGAAAAGTGCATTTGTTGTTGTAAATGATGTCAACGATTATAATGATGATGATAATACATAACTTTTTTTAATTGTTAAAGAATTTTAATCAAATTTTGTGATAACAGCAATGTTCATCCTTGACACATTTTGTTTGTGAAATATAATTCCTTAAATGGACTCCACTGAGGTTTAAAAGCCTTAAAGCATAACATTTGAATTTCTTACGCAAATAAGCTGAGGTACCTTAAACAGAAATATATGCAAAGATACTTAAGAAAATATATTTTAAAATACATTGAAAATCGTATTTTTGCTTTTCTTAGCCGAATTTGAGTGAAAAGCCTTTAAACGCTTTTCATTTTGGGTCATTTTTTATAATTTGAATAATTATTTTGGACACACAAAGTGCAGAAATTTTGCACAAATATAAGTGGTCAAAACCTACATCTTATGTTTCATTTATCTGGGAAAAAAATTCAGTCCCATCATGTCAAAAACCTCAGTGGGGTCCCTTTAAACTTGGTATTTAACATGAAAATGTTATTCTCAAGTTATTTTGCCGTTCTGAATTCCTTTTAATTTGAAATTTATTAATGGACTGTTCAAAGTTCACATGAATCTGACGATTGCATACATGTTATGCATTTTAATTGCTTATGCTTTAGAAAGTGAAGTGTGGAAACATACACAACCTTCTGTCCAGTTGTACTGTGTTATCTCTGGTCTACACCGGAAACAATTATTGCTCAAGTCGACAGCTTGGTCTTCATAACATGTTCCCTCAATTATACAAGTGCCTTCCTGCAAACATATTAGATTGGTCAAAATGAAATTGAAAGTATTTTGGAATGGTAGGTCTGACAACCTTCCTTTAAATAAAAACATTGGTTTAAGCTATAGAGGAATTGCTATTAACAATTTATGTAATCAAAGATCAGTATTAACGGTATGGCATTTTAATTAAAACCTGGCAGGAATGTTTATTTTTTGTTAAGAAATAACTATCTATTTTGAGTGCGTTGTTAAGGAAATAGATATCAATTTTGAGGGCATTGTTGTAGAATAATGCACGGTTCGAATTCAGATGCGTAGGAATATAATTACAATTATTCATATGTTATTCCATTCTAACATGCTAATTAAATGGAGAGTTGATGAAAATATGTTGGAAGTACATTGGAATTACATGGAGCATGGAAGTAATTTTCCTGACGTTATCTGGTTTATTGACATATCGGACGTCATAAGGCGTATATGTGCATTCTTTCTTCGTGCTGTACATATATCGTGTAATAATGCACTCGACTGTCTTATCTGAATTTTGGAGAATACAGTAGTGTGTATACATACACGAATTTTAAATAGTTCATGGCCACAAAGTCATTTTAATGCATTGCAAGTGTAAATCACCATTGATTTGCATGTTATATAATTATATATATATTTATTTCATTATTTAACGTCAAGCGTATCCCCGCCCATATTTTGATTTAATTTCTTTTAACAAAGATATTGAAGACAATGGAAAAGTGGTTACTAGTAATTTGTCTTCCTTGTTTACAATATTCTAAACAGAAAAAGGGACGCCGAAAATAAATAAGAGTGCTCTAATATGTTTTGTTTTAGCAAAAAATGTATTAAGTGCATATTTTTGTATATATTCACAAAATGTCTTACTTTGAGATAAAAACTTGCAGTGCTGACATTGTCTTGGACCATCTCAGTACATAAGGAGTCAAAGACGTACAGAGTTGAAATAGGTCCGAAATTTTGCCCATCATTACTGATAGAGATTTCATGCTTGTAATGTAACACATCGGTTTCAGATTCAGTGGAACGTTTTCTTCTGTCATCTTCAAAGCAACATTCGCCATTGTATATATTACGATACCAGCCGGATACTATGTTAGTACTAACGACACGTGACTCTCCGATTATCGTTTTCTGAATGCAGAAAAGAGCTATATAATATTTTATGTTTTACTATTACCACGGTACATGTTCCTCCTTGTTAATTTGTGTCATATTCAGTAGAGTTAATACAAACACAGAAATTCGATTGATAATGTCTGGCAGAGCCAGACGTCTTTATTGTCTAAGAATAGATTATGATATAATCAAAAGATTAACCAAAATCTTCAAATACGCTTTCATATAGAAAACAATTGTAGCAAACGTTATAATAGATGACACAAAGTTAGACAACAAAAACCACCTAACTAACGTTATAATAGATGACATAAAGTTTACAACAAACACGCCCAACATATATATAAATAGATATATTGTATAATTATATAATATAAAGTACTGTTCATAAAATATTTCTCAAATCGTGGTCGACTCGCCCAGGAAAAACCATAGTCTGGAAACCTGTGCCCTTTTATCTTGTGTCTAGTACCACTTGATGTAGGGCTACATCCTTGAAAAATATTTTACAAACCTTAAGTTAGTAGGCTGATAATATTATGAAAAAATATAAAGTAAAACAAAAACAAAAGGAAACTTATACAGGTAAAGTCCAATGTGATACATAGAGACTACAAAAACTATTTCATTAAAATACAAAATATCCAAGTTAAATGAAGTTATTTATCTCACTTCTAGTTCCGGCGGGTGGAGGGGAGGTAAGGGAAGAAAATAGAATATAATATATATAAGTATTGCAGTATTTAACTACAAATGTTATTCCATTTCAAAGAAAATGGTACTGTATAGAAGTTGTCAATAGCGAGCAATTCAAAAAATGAAAGGGTTTTGCGTGATTCATTACAACTTAATCTCCCTTCCCATGTGAAAGTGTACAATTTGCGCACCTCCTGCTGTTATTGTGCAGTCATAAGATCAAAGAAATATACATTTGTAAATTCCAGACATATGGAACAGATTAATTAACGTTACAGTATATGCTTGAAATACATATCTTAAAGAAATTGGTGATGGTTACTAATAAAATATAAACGAATTTATATGCGATATAAATTACGATTTTATGTTTTACTATTAGCACGGTACATGTTCCTCCTTGTTAATTTGTGTCATATTCAGTAGAGTTAATACAAACACAGAAATTCGATTGATAATGTCTGGCAGAGCCAGACGTCTTTATTGTCTAAGAATAGATTATGATATAATCAAAAGATTAACCAGAATCTTCAAATACGCTTTCATATAGAAAACAATTGTAGCAAACGTTATAATAGATGACACAAAGTTGGACAACAAAAACCACCAAACTGTCCAACCAAACAATAGCGAGCATTTCAAAGAATGAAAGGGTTTTGCGTGATTCATTACAACTTAATCTCCCTTCCCATGTGAAAGTGTACAATTTGCGCACCTCCTGCTGTTATTGTGCAGTCATAAGATCAAAGAAATATATAGTTGTAAATTCCAGACATATGGAACAGATTAATTAACGTTACAGTATAGGCTTGAAATACATATCTTAAAGAAATTGGTGATGGTTACTAATAAAACATAAACGAATTTATATGCGACATAAATTACGATTTGCAGTTATCAATCGATATCAGTTACACGTTTATAAGATCTTCTTTCCGGCTACTGGTTTGACAAAAAGTACAAAATACTCAGCAAAGTTTGGAAATGAAGTTGACTTTTTCTCCGACTATAATTACTTGAATTGTTTTTATTCAAATAAATTATCTGGTTATTTCACATTGCATCACTACATTTAAAGCCAATACCTGAGAAAATATTTCACTAGAGACACAATGTACATTAAATTCTTAGCGAAAGTTCTATTAATCTAGGTATTTTAGACAGTGTAGCAATACCTCGTGTCCGTTACATCATTTTCGACGAAATTTCCGAAAAAAAAACATTGCTTGATCCGCAAAAAAAAAGCCGTAAGAATTCCATTTCTGCATCATTTTTTTAATATTCGCCAGTCTATGCGGAAAAAGATTCACTTACCACGAAATATTGGATCTCCTTCAGAAAAGGAGGTGTTTCATCTTGAACACTTTAAATCTAAGAAGTCTTTTGTACAAGAGCCGACGGCAGTTTCAAGCTTTTTCGTTTTCTTGCATTATCTGATCTATGGCATGACTAAAAAAGTCAGGTTAAACAGCATGCAATACCGAAGGCAAAATCCAAATTAAATTGTTGAAATTGTTATTATCTACAGCGTCAATCTTATCTTACCTTTGTCTTCAATTGTTAATAGTGGCACCGGTTCCCGCTGTTTTCATTTTCAAATCAAACAATGTTTGTGTTGGAAATTATGCCGAAATGACGACAGAGACACGTGGCATTGCTTCACTGAGACATAAGTATCTAAACGTATCATTCTCTTTAATTTGGATTTCTCTCCCCCGTCAAACGCAATAGCATAGTTATGATGTATAAGAATTTATCCTGGTAAGATGCCGAATCCAATTTTTATCAATTTATCTCCCTTTAAATACATGCATGTTTATTTTTATTTGGAACATTTACATGTCAGGTTAAATAGATGTAACAAATGTTTTTTTCTTGAATAGTCTCCCTAACCTTCTTGAACAAAGAGAGTGGATAAACCTTTTAGGGAAATTGTATAAACGAAATCGGAAAGGGATCATGTGTTTTTACAAAACTATACATTGATCTATTCACATTTTTCATGTAATTAATGTAAGGCGGAAACTAGAACAATGATATATTAATAAGAACTTTGTAATTAAAAAAGAGTGTTTTTAAGAGTAAACCTGTATCATAACTCTTTTGCAGAAGAAGAATTCGTGTAAAGCCTCCAACTGAACAGCGAAACAGCTACAGTCTTTACCATAGTTCAGGTCACAAAACCCTCCTCCCTCAATATCCTCAATTACTGGCCCGTCTGATTTGATATTACTACAGGTAGGTCCGAAGAAATCACTGTTGCATGAACATGTTCCTAAAACACATAAAATAATTGTATTTTTAAAATACAAAATGTACATTTTACAGTAATTACACGGCCTGGTTTTATGACGACGATTTTTACTAATTTGCTTAGAAGGACATATCTTAATGACACCTAAACATAGTTACTAAAGAAAAGGTAAAAATTTAAAAACAATTTTGCCCTACCATTTTCTAAGCAGGCACCATTTCCATTACAATCATAAGGGCATGTTTTTGTTTTGAATTCTTTCAGTTCGTCAGTGTGAGAAATCGTGTAATTAGCATCCCTTTTATAACTTGTTTCTATGGCGGATAAAGCTGCTTGTTTGTGTGTCTCCATCCATCCGCGATCTTGTCCTGTCTGGATAGATAACATTATTCATGGATTACCTACACCAAAAATACTTAGTTGACCTAACTGATTTTAACATAAATCAGAAACCTTTCAATCAGAAATACGATAATGCTACATTAAAATATCGTCTTATTAATACAATGAAATAAAAAATATGTATACACTTTGCTCAGATTTGATATTACAAAATATTAATATGTGCTACTCAGTCTCTTTGTAAATATAAAATAAACATGTCTTGACTTAACATAAAGTAGATATGTTATATTCTTTATACATTAGATTGTCACAATATGAACATAAAGTGTCATTAAAAAACTGACAGTTTTATTTTAAGAGAAGACCAACCAATTTTACTTGACCTGTAATAGGGAATGTAGCTTCACAAATATAATTTGTATATTCTTTTATGCAAATTAGATAAATTTAGTAAGAAATTCATGCATTTCAATAAATTCTACGATAAAAACAAAACAAATTTACTTGACCTGTAAAAGGGAAATCAACTTCCCAAACATAGTTTATTCACTCTTTAATTCAAATAAGAGATCAAGAGATATTTAGTAAGAATGTTGTGGATTTCAATAAATTTCTGTTACTAGAATATTTAAATTGTGGATGCAAGGATGAGCAAAGTACATCTTTCACTGGTTTTGCTTGAACAGAAAATAAGCTGAAGTTATCAGTAGCATACATGTAGGAAGCTAGACCTGTCTTTACTGATACAGTCCGGCCTGGCTTAATACTGTTGGCTGATAACTTCAATACATTTACATCGCAGTTTTCTTAAAATTGACATTGGACACATGGGCAAGATCGTATTAGAAATTAAGCAAGTTGATAGTATAAAAGTATTTGTTTATGACTACTTTGAATTAAATACATACTGTACTAATCTTTGAGTAAATCTTATATCTTAAATTATACACCTGAAAATAAGTTAAGTAACTCCCCTCCTGGGGGTTTAATAGCAATTGTTAAGGTGTGTATCTTTACCACGAAGGCGTTCTTTTAAATATGACCAAAAAACAACGTATATTGCAATTTCTTTCAATACTGTGACTAGAATATGAAGTAGGAATTGGCCAGCAGAAAAAAATTTTTTAGTGTGAAAAATGTGTCTTGAACTGAAAGTGTGTTCAACGTAAAATATACTCTGTATTAGGTATATATCTACAGCTTCCACCTTGACGATTTCGGTAACAGTTATTAGTATAAATGTCGTGTCAATGTAATGCCTAAACCTTTTAATATCGCTCATCGTACACAGATGAGTGCGTTTACTTTAAGTCAAATTTGCTGCATGGTAATCTGTCTATGTAAAGCTTCTTCCAATTGGTTCAGATTCTGAGGAGATTGGTCCATGTGTTGTATTCGACGTCCAAGAATGTCCCAAACATGCTCAAAGGGGTTCAGATCGCCACTTTTGGCTGGCAAAGGTGATGTTGCAATGGCGTTTACTTATAAAAATGCCGTTACTGTTCTGGAACAGTGAGATCTACAGATGCAAGTGGATGGTTGTCGAAGTTAGGCACAACGACTGGCTCAATGTATCGTCGGTCTGTAAGCGTTCCTTGTATCGTCATCAATTCCGATTTGTTACCATTGGATATGTAACATCACACCATAACAGAGCTTGCCCCGTGCAAAACGGTCGTTTTGATATTCTTTAGTGAATATGCAGTGATCCTGTGTTGACAGATCCTGTGATCCTGTGTCGCCAGCAAGAAACTGTCCTCATCAGACCATTGGACTCGCCGCCATGAAGTCGGATTCCAGCCTCTTCTCACTAAGCACCATTTGGTTTTGAGTGTCGACCAAGGCCGCTTTATTCTTCTTCGAGAGAACAGCCAAGCTTTAGTGAAATTCGTAAATGTGGCAGCCATTAATTGCTATTCTCGAAAAGCACGGGTAGTTTTATATCTACGCCGACAACTCCTTGCAACAGTATTTCTAATATGTACCAAAGCTTGAATTCCGTCTACGGAATACCATTTGAGACAAAAGTTAAACATATTTATCAAAAACAAAAGCTTAAATATTTTATGTTAAAAAGTATCAAGGCGTGCTTAACATATATCCAGGTGTGTTTTTTATCGTTAAAATTTATTGAAATGTTAGAAATTCTTACTAAACATACTCATATCGTGTCCACCATCAGTGTATAGAGTTTAAACACACTTAACATATTTCTTTGTGTGAAGTCAAACAAGGTTATTCTATATCTAAAAAGAGACTGTGTAGCAAATATGAATGTTTTCAAGTTTGAAGTTTGAGCATAGTATATCTTTAAAGCATTTACGTAATAATTGTAAAGATGATGTATTGTGTTTCAAATATGCTTACATAAAGTTACATTTAGTTGATTTAAAAGAGTGATATCATTTAATTCATTGTGAAGGAGATTGCTTATATTCTATCTTTTGTCCGCTACATATATCAGATATTGCTTCAGTATAATAAAATTGAACATATGAACATACATTATGGAGTAAGATAAAATAGATACAGAACAAAACTGGCACTCTAGAATTACATAAACATCCCAGGTGCATTCCCAAATGGCTTGAGATAAATTAAATCCTCCCAAAAGTTGCAATTTTTCTTCAATCGCCTGTGCGTGCAAATAATTGGAGCACTCATCTCTAGCCATTTCTTCGGTAATATTCTCAACAACTTCCCTCTGAAAATTAATGCACTCAAATTAAACGACAAATAATGTTACCATTACAATCAACGTTTCGTTCAAAGGTTCTATAAGTTGTCTCTATGCCTCGTGTATGTTTTACTAGGATACGATAAGCCAAATATTGCAATAACTATCAATAGTTCTATAACATATAAAAATACTCTGATGTTGTATGCAAAACTGATAAGAATTCGAATGGTTGGGTTTATATTGATTATAAATATATTTATCACACACCCGTGCCGATTTTGCGACTCCGTAAATATGGTATTGCACGGCCGTGCATATATTTTGACGTGACGTCATTAGCGTTATACAAACATAGTGTAAAGACGCGCTAAATGTTAGCGTTATACTATAGGCGCGTCAATGAAAAATGACTCTTATTTCACTTTAAACGGTCTTTATTTTGGGTATGTGATAAATAGAATATTAAATTCGTGTAAGTTCATTACTGAATTTATTGCACTCGTTGGATAAAATAATATTATGCTCGCCAGAGGCTCGCATAATATAATTTTATTCAACTCGTGCAATAAATTCAGTATTGAACTTACACTCATTCAATATCCTCTATTTATTATTCAATACAACCGGACTCTTTTATGCAAAGTGTTTAAGGTTGCTGACCTTAAAACAATGACCTATCACTGCTTTGGGTTCGACTCCAGCCAATGACTTAAGGATCTTTCATGTAAGTCATGAATCCGTTTGTGCATTAAGTGTTGCTCAGAGGGAACCCTACATCTTTCTCAAGGGGGAAAGCTGAAGAATCAAATGTTCACCATACACATGTTTAAATGTTGAATTCTGTTTAAGTCGAAGCTTGGGTCGTGGACAGTCGTGTACTTTTCAGAACTGTTCATGAACAGGCTCAATCAAACCGAGTCTGTAACATTTTCAACTCTGCCGTTTTGGACTTTCTTTAGGGAGTCTCTATTTCTATGTTAACGGTGTCGTTGTGATTTAACCCAATGAAGAAATAATCCATACTTATAAATATTTCTTACCTTTGCAATAACCTTATGAGGAAGTTCTGACCTTGCAGCTAGACGTCTCATTTCAATTTCAGGATCTTGTTTCAGAAAAAATGAATCTCCACGTTTTGCTCTTAATGGAACATAGCACCGTTTATTGAAATACTCGCAATATTCACTTGTTTTTCTGTAACTAACAGTACAGTTCACGTACTGTGATGGAGAACATATAACCTCTTCTTCAGGAGCCCCACAATCATATTCTGTATCATGACATCGACAAGAACAATAAAGGGCTTGGTTGTCTGCTGTCCATGTACCAACATTTAAATTACAAGTTGGTAGCAACAAATTGACATCTTCGTCGTTTAGTCTAAACAATGAATTAGTAAAACACAGAAAACATAAGTGATACATTCTTACATTTATAATTTAGTAAATTCTTTTCTTAATAAATAGACTGAAATGCGGATATAATATATTATGAAATATTGTTTAAACAAGGGGGTAATCTGTGGTTATTATATAGTTATAGCTTAAATAAATAAAATCAAAATACTGAATTGTTGTACCCATCAACTATTTAAGAAATGGTACATATCATTGAGTGTTTTATAGCGTTATTGTGACCGATCAGTCAGCCCGGAAGCCATTCAAAGACCGAAGCCGAGTACATGGAGTAATGTGTATTATTTCTTATATTATATCGCACTTTAGTAGAACAAAATGGTAAAAGTTCAACAAGAAAAAAAGTGAGTACTTCTTGTAAATTGTACTGAAGCTCGTTTTGTACAATCTCCCTGTCGGAAAAACACTACTTAATTTAAACTGTCCAATAAAGACAGAATAGTGCCCGATCAGGTGGTCACTATATTTTTGTAAGACAGCTGACATCATGGTAAACATCATTATCTACTGACTCTTACATGGACATTTACGTAAGGTTTAATATTAACTATTACACACTTCTTGTTAGGTCAAAATCATAACTTACACAGAAGAACTTGCTTACGTCGATTTTATTTAAAAGATATTGTACTGGGGCTTGATTTAATTCATTGAACTATCATTGGTCATTATTCTTTATTTTAAAAGGCTATTTAAAACGAAAAGGGGAAAACTAACGTCCAAGCTTTTAAAAATGCCTTTTCGTCGACTGGGTTTCCGTTTCTATCGTGGAAATCATTGTCCGTGTCGCCGTCAAATGTTCCACATAATCCTTTGGTTCTATTGAGGTCCTTTGGTGCCATATATATATCAACGTTCATCATATTTCTGTACTTGTCTGTTAATATCTCTATCTTGATCAAGGTCCCTATATTTGTTTGAACCTATAAATGATGATTTTAATATTCTATGGCAAGGATTTATTCTGAATTCAAATAATTAAGTAAACAAACTATAACACCGGTTCATTTAAGTGTATAAAGCTTAATATCATTCTGCTTTTTGTAGTATAACATTTGTTTTACAAAAAAGAAACACTTCCTTAATATCTGTATGAAAGAAACATGTATTCATATACCCTTAGAAGTGAATGCTGTATGCACAAACCATTCCTAAACGGTTTAAAACTTACCAAAATAGTTGCATTATATTTTGTTCAGTTTCCGGTCAATATTCATGGTTGTAAAAATAATAGTAGTATATGTTACTACTCTTTCGAGAATCAACCATTAAATTGCCCAAGAAACTTCATTTTTCCATTTATAAATTTTATGATTTTTTTATTAGATATAGCTTTTTACATTGCAATATTAACAAACTGAAAACATGTGTGTAAGTGGAATGTAATTAGATAGTATCTTTACGAAGGATGATATTTTTACTGTTACTCACAAGTCTTTGTGTTATTTATTTCATAACCCTGAATAAAAACATGTCCTGAATTGAGCTAGTATTTTCAACTACGTCTAAATGTAAAAATTTGAACAAAGAGTAGCAATAATTCAACTATTTTATCTTGCAAGTGTAAGTGTACTTGAGAAATTGTTTTTCATTCATGCATATAAATTTTAATGAAATTATTCGTACAATAATAAACTGTCAACATATTTGAACATTAGGACTACCACTGTTTCCTCCAATATTAAATCTCCAACAAATCGAAATATGTTGAAGTCATTGATTTTCGTATGTATTTGCTAACGATGATAAATATTCAAATTCATGAGTCATTTTTTTCGCTTAACGTATTGTGACAATAATTTCAAAAGACAGCAACTTCGTGTTTATACAAGAAAAGAAACGATAAGTTACCTGGTAATTAACTTTTGACGTTTCCCTAATTATCAGTACACCCCCGTCTTTGCAAGAGGTCATGTCGATAAAACGTAACCCCCCACAAATATTGATCAGGAAGACATCACCACCAGCTCGCACTGCAACTGCGCATGCGCAATATGCCCTATCACTATTGCAGCCTATCGTCTTCATTTGTACCTAAAAAAAATTAGAAAAATATATACATATGAAAAGGGCTAAAATAACTGTGATGATTACAAACGATAAACGCTATATTTTTGTACAAGCTGTTCAGTACTAATCTTGGGTTATTTGTATTAGAAAGAGCATCGAAACAAGAGGCTATCTGATTTGTACGAGGGGAGCGTAGCCCCCGAGTATATTAATCAGAATGTCGAGTGTTAATATTCTGCCACGGTTTCTACATCGTACTCGCCAGTATAAGCATAATGGCTTCGATTACTTTTCCCTAATTGTATCTCTAATTTTCAGCAATTGTGTTCATTACCCTTTTTCAATGCTTTTAGTTTATGAAGATGCATGGTGGTTTCGGTTCACGTCACCATGAAATGTGCGGACGTGATAGTGAGTGTAGCAGACGCTGTGTATGGTTTGTTTCTCTCTTTTATTGACATTGAACGTTCACACTGGTAAGAAGTGACGTTACATTAATACCACGAATATTAAGAATATATAAGAATTTTTGTCTTAATATTTTCAAAACTTAGTGCGTAACTTTAAATAAGCAAACTAAATTTCTGAGTCACATTTGTGAGCAATATAATCAAACTATAATTTTTTTATGAAAATGATACCATGCAAAGTTTCATAAAACTGCATGTTTGTTACGTTTGTTTTAAATAATTAGACAATTGACGTTTAGGGATTTCTTAAACATATTTAGCGTACGGATGCAAATAATTATGAATCAAAGCTGTATTTGTAATATAGAAACTTTTAAAAGACAATTTGGTAGTTTACTAACGGTCATAAATGGCTTTACTTATATTCCATTTATATCAGACTGTTTCTTTTATGAACATAAGAAAATATAAATACTGCCATGACATTTGCAATAATAGTGCATAGAGAAATGGAATATTTAGCAATGGATATTCTTGTATATGACAAAGTAATAAGAAAAAGCAAATAACGTTGTCACCTGTATCCCTGATTCGTGTTGGTACAATATGAATGACCCATTAAATGCATTGTTCTCAAAAGTCCTGTTAAGATAAAACATTTCCGTTGTAAAGCAAGACAAAACAAAGGATAGTTAATAGAGTAATTGAAACAGGAAGCATATACATTTGTCTTATCTTATTAAAAGATAATAAGCATAAGTTCAGTGCATATATATTCCATATAATATTCCTCATAAATTTAGAATATTGTCAGAAATTTATGATTTATATTATAAAATGATTTATTAAATGAAATGATCAATGATATCAATGTTTTAGGTGAAATTTACCTTAAGGTTATTTTAATGTATCTTGTCAGTTGCTCTTTTAACCAATCCTGAGTGTTCAGATAAAGTTTTTGTAATTTACAACTCCACTGGTTACAATGTATTTCAAATACGATTTTAAAACGGATGCGCCGAGAAAAACGTTGGTTTTTTTAGAAGTCAAGATAAATTTAGATCGTAGTTTTACCATTCCCGACGTCGATATTTTACCAAAAGTACCTCAATAGAATCATTGTAAACAAAATAAAGCTAGATACACATTAATAATAATTAGCTTCCACGTTATTATATACGCGTAATCACAATCAGTTTCGCCTCAAAATATAGTTCATATAGAGACATTTATATTGTCTGTATTTTATAAACTTGTAATTTATGAAAAACCTTCAAATTATTGTAAGCCTCTAAATGCATCATATTTATTCGTTTTATGTTGTTTTTATTTCGTATGTTAAAGCCTGATTTAATGGACATGATGATGGAATATGTGTAAGATATGATTGGTTTGATGATGATTGATATGGTCGACATGATAAGGAGTATGATAAAATGTATATGGTGATGAAAATGATTATAATCATGTATATGACGGTGAGTATGAAGATGATATAATAGCGATGGATATGATGCCGGATAGGATGGTGGATGTGATGGTGGGTGTGATGATGAATTTGATTGACATTAAGATGGGTTTTATGACTGATACGAATCAATTTTGATAAATATGACAATAATGTGATTATAAAAAACAATCATGATAAAAAAGCTTGTCTATGAACTTAATGGTGGGCATGATGAACTTGGTGAATATGGTTAATATGAGGATGAATGTGAGGATAATGATTGACATGTTGATTGATTTAATGATGAATACGATGATGGATATGATTGATATGGTGGATATGATGATGTAAACGATGATGAACATGTTAATAATGATAGATATAATGATGGATAATACAAATTTTATAATTGACATGATAATGGATATGATGTAAGTGATAAATAAGGTCGATATGATAATGATAACGATGATAAATAACGATCAAAATAATGAATTTAGTGTTGGACACGATTAAGCAATTTGAAGAACAACTGAATTTATTTCTGAAACAAAATCTCAAAAAAGAAAGGAAAAAGGTTCATTTATCAAAAATAAAAAATGCAAAAAACTGTATTTCAATATAATCGTACTTTCCATCACTTGTTTTTTGATGGGGGTCAACGTGCGCATAACAATGTGTCTTTGTTTCTTCATTATATCTCTCATCTTGAATTATAAACAACTGAAAATAAACAACTTAAGGGTGATACATTCTACATTATTCATTAAAAAAATATTGCTATTCTGTATCCAAAAAAAAAGAGATTCAAATCTAGGCTGTCGGAACATACAGGAATATCTAGCTCTCGAGTAACTCGGCATAGCGAACAGTTATCCAGTTATCCTCGAGCTAGACATTCCGGTCTTTACCAACAGCTAGTGTAAGATTCTTATTATTATTCGACACAGTATTATATAACACCACATACTATAACATCGAATCATATCACATCGTATAATAACACATCTTATTGTTCTGCTACTTAGCTGACTTCTATATTTTCAATAAAGTCATAAGTTATTTCTATTTACCTGGAAATCAGATATAGGGGCCTTTTTCCATATAACATGTGTCCCGCTATTTTGTGTTTGCAAACTGAGTTTGTAAACAGTTGGATCTGAGTTGGAGAAAAATGGTGATGATATTTTGAGAGTGGCATTGCTCATTTGTTTTTGTCCGTTTTTGATATCCTTTGGTAGAAATCCCTGTCATTGATAAGTAAAAAATTGTTAGCAATAAGGCACGTGATTGATAAATAAATAAAGAAAATTAATAAGATCCTGTATGTTGTAATTGAGGTTGCATACCACACTGAAGTGAAATTATATATATGTATCGAATTATGCTAATAAAAAATTCAAACATCGAAGAATATGTAAAGTATGTACTGCAAATATTTGTACATATCATATGTAATTATTAAAATATATGCACTCATTACTTATTGAAAAAATTGACTAAGACTTTATAGAAAATCATTTTATTACCTCCCTTTATTTACATGAAATGTTAAATTCGGTAATATCTTTATAAATCTTTTTGGAACTGACAAAATTGATAAATCTTAATTTGAGCACCGTATTTATGATATAAAACCCTAAAAAATTGTGTGACAGGATCTTTTATAACTTAAATCTGTTCTATTAAAACTCTTATATAAGCTTCCTTGAAATCCCAATGAGAATTATATAAAAAAAAGCCTAATAATAGTTTTTCTCAAATTCCGGTTAGAGTTCTCCTAAAACTCTGTAAACTGTTTTTATCAAACAGTAAGAGTTCACGTCAAACACTAATATCGAAACAAAGTTGGTGTCTCAATTTCAAATTTCAAAAGCAGTTAAACCATTCATTATGTCTTTTTCTTTATGTAGAATAATTTATGTTTTGGTAACAAGCTTAAGCAAATAAAATATTATTATAACTAATATGCATTGGTTTTTCTTTCCTAAATATCAACAGTAGAAATGCGTTTACGCATGAAACAAAGAAAAACAAAGGTGTTATTGGTACCGAAATTTCTACTCCACATTTAGCTTGTACGTCTTCCACCTTTGGTTGTGATCCAGTATCAGTGTCTCCGATACTACATAAGTTATCTGATAATTCAGGGTAGTACAAGTTTATTGAAATCTTGCAAGGAATGTCTCTGTCGTCATTAACTCGTGCATAGCAACCGTATGGAACAGTTGGTTGAAGAGTGAGATTTGCAGTATCTTCTTTCTTCATATTTATAAAACTTGGATGAATCTGAAATTACAAGGGAAGAAAACAATTATGTTATTCTTAATAATCATTTTTGAAAATATAACCACTTTGCAATGGATTTGAAATCTGCAGATATGAGGCTTTTTTAGTTGTATTAACTCCAAAATACATCTGTTTTGCAATATATTCTTTTGTCGACAACTCTCACAACACGGAAGTCATATAGCGGAATATTACCTTTTGATTCTGATGCAGAATACATTTACTCTTCCATGCTAGATACGTAAAATGTATCTTTAGTAGGCTCTATGATTGTTTGACTAATTTAACTTCTATTCCTCGTCCATACCCATTCCATACCAAATAAAAATGAATATGTTTAATAATGAAGGCAAACTTTTATTTTAATTCGGGTCATTACCTTAACTCCGGCAAAGAAGCTTTCACTGTATTTCATCCCTGTCTGGTACCCAGTGACAGATGTTGATGTTCGAATACCACAGTGTATCTTAAAACAGATTCCAAAGCGATAACACAAATGTGACACAATAACTCTAAATTTGAATATGTTTTAAATACAAATGTATACAAAATTTCATATGACATTGTTTAGCCAGAAAAAATTGTTATAAAGAAAGTTAAACTTACAAAAATTTATGTCGCTTTTAAAATGTAAATATTTTCAATATTGTTAATAAATACTGGCAGGGCACACATACCGTAAATCCTATTTTATATCCCAGGTCTGTAAGTTCTTCTTCGTCTAACGGCATGACATATTGTTCACTACGGAATGTCTTTATCAGGACCGACTCAATGAACCTGTATCAAATATTTACCTCGATTGAGTTGGTTTCAAATTGTTATGCAAATCCCTCGAAACAGTGAAACTGATTGAGAATGGAAATCGAGACTTTGCGTTATTAATCCTATCTTGAGAGCTACTAAAAAGTCAAGTATTTTACTTTTCCTGGCAACGAATTTAGCAGAATTTAATCTTCAACTCTCAGAACAGTAAAATCTAAAGGTAAAATAAATAATACAGTATTTTTACTTTAGAATGAACTAGATATTACCAGTATGTTGAGTACAATAGATTTGGCCTGTTTGACCGACCGTGTGGTGGGTTTTCGTTTTCACTACAGTTGAATCTAAGGAAAGGTATTTCAAACCCATTTGTTATTTTGAACTTCAGTTCTGTATGGACTGATAGATCGCCTATTGTAACATCGGTTGGCGCTGCCTCAAAATCTAAAACACAGAGATCTCCGTAATGTGACCTCAAATAAAAAAATGACACATAGAACTATTCTTAGAACTACATATTTTTATTTATCGATGAACAATTGCTTAAATAAGTAACAAATTAATAAAACAAAAACAGAATACATAGCGATTTATCAGCACACATGTATAATTGCAAAATCATAAAAGGTACTAGCTTTGAGATTATTTTTATCTGATTCTTTAAGAAAATAATTAATACGTTTTAATATTCAATATAAGGTGTATTTTGAAATTTGAACATATATTTCATTGTTAATCAAATACATTGTATATTTTTCTGTTTTAATTTTTTACTGACCAGTTATCCCTTGTATATCAGGCGGATCTGAAAATGAAATAAGATTTCTGTTAGTTTCTGAAACAAAATTGATAAACCGACTATAACTTAAAAATATCTTTAAAGATATCAAAATCTTTAAGCAAACTTATTTGACGACAAATCAAAATGAATGTTTTTCATGCATAGACGGTCATTTCGAGGTAATATTGGTCACAAGAATTGAAAACATATCAAAAGAGAAAATAAAGCTATTTTAGCTTGATAATTAGACTTGATTAACTAAATATTTTGTCTCAACTTACCCATACAGTATGCAGCTGTATGACTCGTACGTACAAGATAATACTGTGTTTCATCACCGCATTGTCGTATATCTATATTACGTTCATTGGAGCAATTATTAAACGGATACCATTCACAAGTGACCGCATGGTATACTGTCTCACCAGTCAAATCAGTCACTTCAGGATGATCCCCTTTTAGAAAAATGAAACGAATTTAAAATGACTGTCAGTGCATCAATCGACGCAACATTAAGACCACAAACTACTTTATTCTTCAATGGCAAAGAAAAATGTAGATATTCAAAAACGGTTTAAAAACATTTATTATTTATACCGTTTCTCCTATTGTGTGGCTACACTTATTGCATAACTAAATACATATACAATTATGTTGCTTTCGTAGTTTATTGTTAGTATCTGTTTCTCTAAAAATATTTTTTATCATACTGACTGATTCAAGTATCAACCAAACAAACTATTATATGTAAATCATTATTTTCCTGTAAATCCTGTCTGATGGTATTTATTTAAATGGTATGCATACTTATTCAAATCCAAAGTTAAGTTAAAGTGACATTATGCTAACATTTTCATAGTCAAATTAAGCTGAATTGACTTTATATCTCAAAAGATTGACTGTCAAAATGGTGTTTGACCAACAGTTGATACTGACAAATGCTTAGGATAAAATTATAAATCTGCCAATTTAAAAAGACTGCCCCACTCTTTTAATAAAATAAGCATTATAGTTAAATTCTAATGGATATTTACAGAAATTTTGTTTGGATTTGTGCGTTATTTATTGTTTGTGCGAACTTATTTATTAAATTAAAAGGAATTATGGCAAAATGACAACTTATTTTGATCTTCACCCGTTCACTCACTATATACCCGAGGATGGGCATAATGTCACTTTAGCTGTGTTGATTTATTACATTTTTCTTATTGGTTTTGTTTTATCAGTACCTATTCACCAGCCCGTGATTATTCAACTACTAAAACCAAATTTCGAACTTTCTCAAGCAAATTTTTACTTTTTTCACATATACTAAAAAGGGTTTGAATTAAAAATGAATTAAAGCATAGCTTATATGATACTATTATTAATTTACAATTGTTATTTTTTTTTATTAATAATTGGTTTTCGGAGGAGAAAAACTAAATGATTTTGAGAAAACTAAACGTTAGATATGTTTTAATATGATATCACCAAAAAAAAGGAAGATTGTGTGTTTATTGAATCTTTTGTAGAAATGACATGTGAAATTCAAAGATTTTAATTGTCTCGAGTAAAATATAAATACATTGTATTGTAAACACTGACATATGTTTTAAATAGGATCGTAAAACGTCAATATGAAAAAGAAAGAAAGCATTTTTGATGACACTTTTAAACAAAATTTTAAAATACATGTTTTATGGTCTTGTCTAGAGAATGTTGATTATCTTATCTGACCTTTGATGTAAATAGGAGCCTCTGTTCCACATGCCAAATATTCAGGTACTGTGTGACTGTCAGGCATTTTATATTGACCAACACTGAACCAAGCCGGGCCTAAATATTCATCATATATATATTCATCATCTTCCCCTTTAACTATATAGTTTCTTCCCCGTTTGTCTATGTCTGGCAAACGTGTTGCTGTTTCACATCCGAATGCTTGGTTTGAAACAAAAATAATCAGCAAATAAAGTCTAGGAAACTTATTTTGCTAAAATATTATATTTTGATAAATGATGCATAATTTTAAACATTTTTAACAAAATATATCAATAATTATAATCCAAATGTTTAATACAAAATTAGCAATAAATCAAAGGGTTTGAGTTGTTTGAACTAACATATTAAAAACGACCAACAAATATACTCATTACTTGCAATGAGAAATAAATATAAACGTTTTCAAAACATAGAAAAGAACAAGTATTATTAAATCAGTTGTAGAAATATCTCTAATTTGCTAATTCTTTTCCTATAGCACTTTTAGAAATATATTATGTGTCCAATTGGACTTGCAAGTAAGATATTAATAATTCATTTCTACCCGATTATATTTCGTAAATAAGACTAAGTAAATAAGTTCTTACCGTGGCTATAAAGTGAACACAAAAGTAAACATAAATAAAACATTTTCGACATTTTCGTTTAAAATCCTCACAAAGTACACGAGGAATTGACAGGGTGTAAGATCAATTAATTTTTAATGTATTAATCATTTGATCTAACCATTAGTACTTCCTCTTTGGTTGTAAAATATAATTGATTTAAAATGCCTATTCACCGACTTGTGAATTGAGATAGCAAAATCTGCAATTCAACCACACGTTGAAATGAACCTGCTATTTTTATTAATAAGTTGGCAAAATAACAAAACCCTGCCATTTACTAAAAAGTGTTATATACCAAGTTTATTAAAAATAACGATACGAAGATGTATACATCCGTATGAGTATATACTTATAATACATGTACGTAAATAATTAACTGCATAGTTTTCTCAAAGGACACTTCTTAATTAGTCACAAAGCTCTGGTAACGAATAACGCTCCAACAAAATTGCAGTAATTTCATTTCGATGAACGTGAAAATTTGAAAACATTTAGATAACTTTCGAGAATTTAGTTACTGTTGTAGGGCAATGCAAATAAATGTATATAAAATTTAATTGCTGAGAATATAATTTAGAAATATCTTTAAGCCTTAAAAATCTGGATAAAGTGTGATCCCTGGGAAACCTTAATCACAACAGAATTACATGAGAATTGCATACTCGTGTTGATTGAGTCTTCAATATGAATATACGAAACAGACCTTAAGGAACACCAGTATCTTAAATGGTAAAGGTAAAAAAGTAAAGGTCTTGTTTATTATAGTGTCATCTGAACCGAAAGGGCCCGTCTTTTCTGATTTATGAGACACCTTTCTGCTTGCATACCATGTACCTTTAAACTCCTAGCACTATGCCAGGCGCCAGGCGGATATACTGAAGGGTAACCAATTATTTAATTTCATCGCGGCTCACGAAGGAATGATTATTTTTATATGGTTTACCATTTTTCTATCGACGTAGAACTACATTTCAAGTTGTGTCATTATTATCATACTCATGCCAGTTTTGAGGGAAAGAAGCATTTGACAGAGCGAAACGATGACTATAAACGTTTTTGACCGATTTATTGAATGTTTAAAGATATACTATGCTCATCTTTGAGTAAACTAATTATTTTGCAGAAATTAATTGAAATCTAAAAAATCCTTAATCAATATGACTTTTTTAAATACAAGAACGTATAAACCTTGTATGGGAATCTGCGGTCCTTAGATTAAGGGGCACAAAGAACTAGTCCTAACAAAGAAACACCTTCCAGTATTTCCAAGGTTACGATATATTCAGTGTGGCACCTACAGACAATGCATATTGTTTCATAACCTATAATACAGGTTACGCTGTACCTTGGTATTTGATCAAAGAATATAATCTATATTGTTTAATAACAGCACAATGCAAAACTGGCATAAAGATAATCTTCCAATTGGTTGAATGATTAATTTTACAATATGAAGATAAAATGTTGCCAATAAAAAGAACACATTGTTATATTTTTAGTAGCCTTTTTGTGTTGTTTTGTCAGACAAGTTAAAAGAATTGGTATGTAGTTTGATATTGTTTGGTATTGTAATAATGCTGGCACAGACTTTAAAAACATGTTTATTTAATGTTTAAAACGAGACCGTGTAGTACTTATTAATATTTTCAAATATAATTTTGTGCATAGTATAGCTTTAATCAATTTTGTATTCATCGAGGTCTTTGAGTTAGTTGTCTGAAATGAATTCGTATCAATATCAAGTTCAACCATCTTGCCAAAAGGTGTTTAACAGTCGTATTTTAAAGGACAAATTATTCATGCTGTGCTAAGTTACCAGTCATTCAAATGAATAAAATAAGATGAATTGATCAAAAAGTAAATTCATCATGGTTCAATTCGTATTGTCTCAAATACAATGATGAAGCCTATATATTTTGTTATCACACGTGGCACCTACAGACAATGCATATTGTTTCATAACCTATAATACAGGTTACGCTGTACCTTGGTATTTGATCAAAGAATATAATCTATATTGTTTAATAACAGCACAATGCAAAACTGGCATAAAGATAATCTTCCAATTGGTTGAATGATTAATTTTACAATATGAAGATAAAATGTTGCCAATAAAAAGAACACATTGTTATATTTTTAGTAGCCTTTTTGTGTTGTTTTGTCAGACAAGTTAAAAGAATTGGTATGTAGTTTGATATAGTTTGGTATTGTAATAATGCTGGCACAGACTTATGACGTTACAAGGTGATGATCTTGCATTAACTTATACACTTATGATTCAGTAAAATTTATAATAAAACAATGGAATAATTATTTTGAAATACTTGACGTGAAACATTTAAATTAACACGTGACTGCTAATCATGTTCAGGAAGTTTGAAATTCAATCTGATAATTATAGATTCATATCGGATTTAAAACAGCTATCACAAAGGCCCCTTCAACTTTAAAGGCTTCATATAAAGAAGACGTTCGTGACTGCATTACATTCACATATTGTGCATACAATAAACCAAAATTAATTACACCCCCTTAAAGCTATTGCGAATAATAAAAGTCATTCTTGATGTGCTGTTATGAAATTTTAAAAGCATGTCATTGACATGTCCTTCAGATATTTAAAAAACATTTTGGGGATTTTTCGAAATAGCCCGGAAGTTAAACCCCACAGTGAGACAAGGTCTATACAGCTTCTCAAATTCGGCAATTTTCACAAAGATAATTCTTACAAAATGTGAAAAGACGAATAGTTTAAGGCGGATCTCTTTAACACCCACTTTTTGCTACTCAAGATTATTGAGATACACGATTTGTTTGTGTAGCTCAAGTACTACTTTATGTAAGTTTGAGATAAAATCATTACAACACTTTGAAAACATAAGGTATTACTGTAGTAAGCCAGCAAGAAAGCATGTTAGCTATGCAATGAAGGCAGATTAAATTACTTACGTGTGCTGCAGTTCTCTCCGGTATACCCGTTGCAACATACCTGTCTTTCACAAGTTGATTTGCAAGGATAAAACCTCTCTCTGTATTTAAAATAAAAATTTACATTTACAAAAAAGATACATTAGGCTAACATAGTATGAGAGTCTTTAAATAAGTTATTTTTATGACCCCATAATGAAATTGTCTTTCATTTAAAAATGATGAAAATTTGTATGAGTGACAAACAATTATTGAGATACTAATTGACATAGAACACAATCCCGTGCGACATATGTCGTCACATATATATGACGTCATTTGAACGTCGCTCAAGCGTCATGGTCGCGGTTAGTTGTCGTGAGGGTAGTTTGACAGAAAAATTGTGTTGACTATACTTCATTTAATTCATTCGAGAAAAATCCTGTTGATTATCCATAATGACTAAATATTCAGTATAATAATGACTGAGATAAAACACTTTTCTCTTTGCAAACTTTTGTATCTGCGTACATGTATATGTTATCAAGCATTGTGTCAAAAATTAATAACTTTCGGAAATTACATCAGCCATGATATACTTTTTAAAATGATACAAGTGAGACATGCCATGTTAGTGTAGACATTACACTAATGCGTATGCTCAGCTTACAATATCTGGGTTGAGTGGTAGAAAACTTAATATGTGCAGCATATATGTTAATGAGTGTTTATGATCAATGATGAGCGTTCACGAGCGTCGCGTCGATGAACCTTCATCCGAGTTGATTTTGTGTTCATGAGTGTTTAAATACATCCATAAGTGTTGCTGAGCGTTTCTAAACAAAAACAATGTATGAACATTCACAAGCGTATGTTAACATTCATGATTGTTAATGTTGATGTTTGTTCACGAGCGCTGCTGTAATACCATGTATACTGATGTGCGTTTATGAGAGATATTGTGTTTATGTGTGTTGCTTGTATTTATTTTTGTTGTGTTGCTGTATATTCATGAGTATTCAAGTGATTTTATTGATTTGAATGTGAGGTTATGAGCGTTGATGCGCGTTAATTGGCCATATTAGCTAACAGCCGAGTTATTCATTAAACAATACTAGAACAAAATGAAGAATGAGAATAATTTGGGCATACTTCTACAATTGTAGTTGAATTGCAGAGTATTCACGATGTCTCTTTTCTTCATTAATCGGTTGATAATCAAAAAGATCCAAGCCCATTTTTTTTTTTTGAATTTGGATAATACGAGCCAGACGTTGTGAAAAAATATTATGAACAAGGACCCGCACCTTAAAGGTTATCTTGTAAATATGCAAACATATCAAATAATCTGACACTGTTTCGACCTTTGATTGACTATTTTGGCAACAAAGGTTTATCTTTATGCCTAAAAACATCCTTTAAACTGAACAAGATCTTAGTTAAATTTTTTATATTTAAATTTCAAAATAAATATCGGTTTTGTTTTGCCATGCCAGTCATGCCAGTATTTGGCAAATTCAACCTATATTTCTACGCGCTTAAAAAATGAAACTATCAAAATTTTAATATTTTCTATATATACTAATGGGGTTAAAGTAAATATGGTTCGTTTTTCTATCTTTTATATTGTTTGTAAAAAAAGAGATACAATTATGTATAAATTTTGCCATGGTCAGATTGTTTACCTGTTTGCCATGGTAAATGCTTTGTAGCAAAGTGAAGAAATATTTTCCATGGTATTTAAAAAGGGGTTCAACAAATTTCTTCTAAGACATTTATAGCAGCTAAATTGTAATATTATAAATCTACAAACTTAAAATTTACCATACAGATCGCTTGTCACAATAAATGATAAGCTATCAGACACAGAATAATGCCACTTTTCTATTTAAGCTCCCAGCATTAAATTGTCAAAAGAAAGTCACCAGTTCAAATTAGTCGAGACTTACTTGATAATATTGAAAATTATATAATTTAGATAAGCACACATGAGGTGACTACTTTACGTTAAAAATAAGTAATTTGTATGATCAACGACATCAAAGGCATCACAACATTAAATCAAATGTCAGGACAGAACTAGGAAAAAACTGTAAACATCAGATATCAATACAAAATTGAGAACACATTATTAACAATTGTCCAAAAAGAGTGCTTCCCTCTGTTTTCTGTTTCATCTCTTATGCAAAAGATAACATAACCGTATATTGTACACGCTGTAAAACACCGTTTCCATTATATACTTTTGTTTAAACTTTCAGCAACATGGCAAGTACGACAAATTGCAAAACAATCAGAAATATATAGAACAACGAATTTGAAATGAAATGACGATTAGATAACACATGATGCTGGCTGTCAACGGCAATAATGCAACTTCAAAATAGTATGCCCCATAAAAGAATATATCTTTATTTCTTAAGAAATGGCAAACATGAGTTCATATTTCAATACATGTAATTATTTTGAATTATGTAAGATGTTTGTTACCTGAAGAAAATAGCGCTTAATGTGAAACAATGTGTTATAAAAGTTAAAAAATGTAAACAAATCAATATTTTGACTTTCATACAAAAATCAATATCACTATAAAACTTAATGCCAAAAAAAAATATTATTATGGTTCAGATAATTGAGCAACTTTCTGGAAACTGTTAAAGACACCAACAATAAAAGAGAGAAGTTTTTGAAAAAATAAGGTTAAAGCATTTCTAACGCAAAATGTGCCTTTGACAAGAATGCGTTAGATAATTATATTTGATATTCTTTTTGTTTTTGTTTTACATTCGACCTTTTCTTAAACTTTCTTTAAAAAACATCATATAACATTGTCAAGCATCATCATACTTGCAGTTATGTTTGTCATCATGTACATGTATTAGTTTGATATAAGTCATAAAACAAAGTTTTCATAGTAAATGAATGAAGAAAAACTAGATAAATTAAAATAATCATTTAATAAAATAATATGGGGTAAACATTTCGAATATTTCCTTATAAGCGCCTGTTTCTCACGGACTTAACTTGAGAAAAATAGTACACATACCTGTAAACGGTGCAGTCTGAAAGGTCTAAAAATCCACACGAAGTTTTTTCTTTATCTATTCTGGGGCAATTCTTATAACACTCGTATTGCTCAGTACAATATCGTGACATGGACACTCTGTCAAATATAATTAAATACATAGTTAATAATAATTGCATTTGCAAGCCATAGCATGTGTCAAAATAATTAAAAACAAAATAAACGAAGACTATATGGCTATAAGAGACCGCTAAAATAAATGATGATACAGGCCACGTTTCTGAAACCTTTATTAAACAAATCCGTTACTCCTAGCGAAAACGTCGAAATGAAATTAAGTTTTACTTTGACACCGAAACTAAATTGTTTCAGTGTTTATGTACAATACAAGACAAGACATTAAAAATAATGTAATTCTAGACCAACACAATATTTAATAGAAAGCTTTCGGTGTCTCAATAACAATCAATTCCTTTGTAACCCTGTATTATCTTGCTCTGAATACTTATTAATTAAAATGATCACATAATACTAAAAATGGGCGTTGTGATATTTTTTAAGATAATGCAAAATGCATAAGTAAAGATTAAATTAATTTCAAACAAAAATCTAATAAGTGTCACTTACATGTCTTCAACATAGAAAGTTATGAAAAACAATCCAGCAATTACGCTTGTTAGATATGCAGCCATGTTGAGCACTTTTCTGCCTTTGAACAAGGAAGTTGATATACATTAAGACCGGTCTATTGTTTAAACGATTTTATTGATAAAAATCTTGTTATACGCATATTAAGTATATTTATTATATAAGACTGTCATTTTAACTGTACAAATAAGAAGCTTTGGTAGTTTAGAACGGAGAAGGTAGTCTAGTACTGGTGTAACTCTCCAGGAACGATGGTTAGGAAACTACCCGCCCATATGACTGAAATACTGTTGGGAAAAGGCGTAAATTGAAACAAACAAACAAACAAAATTGTACAAATTTTACTGTCTGTAATGAACTATCGAAAACAGTCGTATTTAAATATGTCTGTAAAATCCAATTTATCAATGAAAAATCTAGTACTCTCGTCAATATAAAAAGAATAAAAACAGAAACATTATCATTATCATGATTGAGTTATCATATTTTTTTCTCAAACTCTTCATTTTTCATTATCGATCAAGTTTAAAGAGATTACGACGAAGTTAGTGCGCAGATCTGCATTATGCTAATTTCTTCTACCGATGAATGGCCGTAATGCAGATAGGCCTGAGTCTTTATGGATGGTCGACTTTTCATCAAAATGAATATTCACATATTTTCAGTATATGAGGTATATGTGGCGTTTTAAGAAACGTAATGCAACGTCGTGAAAAGTTAGTACATTCATGACGCTTTTTTGTTTTATTATTAGGATAGTAAAATCTATAACTGATATCGATAGTTATGGTTGTGGTTGCGTTTGTAGTTTACCCTGCGGATCACAGCAGTAAACCACATTGAATAATCCAAAGTTAAGTTCAGTCACCGCATCGTTGACAGGCTGTCAAGCAGTTTACCAGTACTATTTGTCCTCACGGATTACTGCTGTACATGCAAGAACAGAGGTACAGAGCTAATGACGAAAGAAAGAATTTCATGATCAATCACAACGAAAGTGACATGTATCTTCCGGGAATTTAAACTGGGCCGCCAAATTCACAGTAAAATGCTCACCCTTTTGAGCTACGCGGACAGCATTCATATCGAGGTTCAGCATTTTACGAAAATAGAGTCTAAAGTCTTGTCATTCCGATGTACGTAGAAGTATCAATCTTAACAGTGTTTTAACAGAATTCTTGCATAATATTGTAACGCCCATTTGTATATAAAACAATGAGATTTTTCATATGACAGGACGGAAAATAATTTTTCGACATAAATGTTCCATTTGGTGATGGTCTAGACCAGAAACTCGGGTGTAAAATTTCAGGACATTCGCTCTCTCCGTTTTCCACAACAATAATTATAATTGAAAAAACAAATAGGATTGAAAAGTGCTGTAAAGCTTTTCACTCAAATCGGGCTAAGAATAGCATTCATATTTTTGTTTCTAGACATTTGGAACTACGTGGAAGTCTGAAGGTCAATATTCGATTCAAAGATGTTTACCATAAACAGCTTGATCGTAAAATTAGAAGTAATGGGGAAGTTCCAAAACGAAATCAAAAAGTTGAAAATTTGTTGGATTGAACCTGTTCATGAAAGATAAAGATAGGTGCAGTATCTCTTATGCCTTCTGCATCGGCATTAGTCAACAGCTCCTAAATATCTTAATCTCCAAATCAGCACCCCTGATGGACCAGATAATTCGAACCATGAATAAAAGAGTTTTTAATACCGTTTATTTTACAACTTATCACTTATTCCCGCCTTGAACTTCTTTTTACTTTTAAGACGTTTCTGTTTCCTTAGCTGTTTCATTATCAATAGTAATTCATCTGAGAGCTTACATGAACAAAGAAAGCACTTAACATATACTTGTTTATTAGCAAATCCATTTCGAAAGTAATAATCGTATATGCATATTCATATAAACACATGTAAAATAATGAAAGAAATGAAATGCTATGATAGAAATGTGGTAAATGTATTAAATCCACTGTCTACGTTAACTTCTTTAAATGTTGAATCATAAAATAAATAATACAATTGCGATCAAACAGAAATGAGTCAGACAAAAGATGACACGAAGCTTTTTCAAATTGTATGAGTGAACTTTCGTGGGTTTGATATTCTTTCTTTTTTGTGTCATAACCATATACAAAACGATATCAACCCCTGAAAAAATAAGCCAAATAGCGGATACAAGTCAGATCCGTTTCTCTTATCCCCTTGTCTCGGGTCACGTAGTCGGTTCAGTAAGTGCACGAAATATTCATATATGTAGCTTTTAATGTTTTGTTGTAGAAATTATATTCATATCCTAATTATAAATTTTTGTTGTAGAATTCCAATTTTAATCCCTTTTTGAGTGGGAAAAAGATCTTCAAAATTTTAGCGCGACTTGTTTACTGATTTTTATTTGAAAAAGGCTTATACTAAGTTATATATATATGATAAGTTCATGTGCTGAGATCTACAAAATACATTTCAATTAATGGGAATTTAAATGCGTTTTCAGATCTTCACCCCAAGTGTCTATAAATTTTTAGTTGTAGAATTCTATTTTTATTCTTAATCCATCCCTTTTGAGTGGGACAATGATCTTCAAACTTTTATCGCACTTTTTTACTGAATTTTATTTGAAAAAGGCTTATACTAAGTTATATATATATATGATAAGTTCATGTGCTGAGATCGACAAAAATACATTTTTATTAATGGGAATTTAAATGCGTTTTGAGATCTACACCCTAAGTGTCTATAAAAGGATGTCATTCCGTATGACAGATGTTTCAATCGAGAATTGAAAGAATAATGTTCCTTGTTCTGTGTTTTAGTTATTAAAATTGTCATTTGTTGTGACATTGAAGCTGACATCACACGTGCTGGCGTTTGGAACACTACCTTCATTCTTATTAAATGTTGACAAATTTGTATTTGCTCTCGAGTCATTAGCAATATGCTTAAATGCTTCCCCATTCGTCAAATCTTCAGTTGATATGGAATTCTTCGACCTGGAAATGCAAAGATGATGTTTTTTTATTATTTATAAACCAAAACAACATATAACCATCGTAGTCCGTGCACAAAATAGCGAATATAATAATAATTATATAGAAAATCAATTAATGTTGAATGCATGTGCTACGGAAAAAGTTTTTTCAACCAAACATAACATAAAGTCATGTTGCAAATAGAGAGCCAAGCTTTAAGCAAAAACGATAAATGAACACAAATAAGTTCTTAATATGTTTTACATTATCGGAGCATTTTCCGTTTATCAATGAACTTTGAATATAAAAACAATTATGTTTCTTTAGTTTGTAGATGAACCTGAATAGTTAAAGCGTGAACAGGGTAAGTAAATACAACCAATTTACTGAATGAAAGTTTCAAAGCTAGAGTAACAAAATATAGTTACGGTCGAACTTTGCAGATCTGTTGATTAAATTTTCTATATAAAGCGACACCATTTGCTATCAACGATAGCACAGCTATCACCAGCAAACATATAAATGCTTCCGGATACAGTATTGAATTATCTGAAATAAAGTAAACAGATTTTCTCAAAATAAACTCCGTGTACAATTGTAAACACGGTACCGTACACCGGATAAAACGTGTTTTTATTTTTAGTTGTAACAAACTCGAAAAGAACGTACACGAGATAAGGAAGCTCATTTTAGCTCATTTGACACTTATGCGACCTGGGCTAGAATATATGTTTTACCTAATATATATTCAAAATATAATATTTTTGCAAGTATCAGCAATGAAAACCACAATTGCTCACGGGAAAAATCGTTGCCAATGTAGCAAAAAATAGTTTCTTTGAAAGTTCTGTCAAAAAAAAAAGTAAATAGGCAGTTTTCGTTAACCCCTATATTTGTACAAACACGCATTTCTTGTAACATTGGCAAACAATATAATTCTACAGTTCAAAAATACACGCACCAAGTGTACTGGGTCTGTATATTATATGCTCATAGTGTATTACGTTTGATTAGCAATTGTGTTGAGTATTAAGCATAATAAGAATAATCCGAGGAGAAACACACTTTATTTTCCCACAGTTGCTAGTAATTTAACCGTTCGACTTGAGAGGGTAGGGCAGAATTCATCAGGGTACATCTTCATACATGAATAGAAGTTCAAGTTTCAAGGTCATTAACTGTGATATCATGTCCAGTGTTATATATTATGTTTTGATATAACAGGTCCAAATGACCTTGACATTTAACCTTTTAACCTAAAAGAATTTGATTAAAGTTCCAAGGTCAGTGCCAATGTGGCTATACCATGTGACTTTTCGGGTACGGTACACGCAGATTTTACACCCGAATCAGGAATGTTTTTTATTAATTTTTTTGCTGTTACTGAACCGATTTTTGCCAGGAAATGCACGTGAGTACCTGTCATTATATAAGCTATCCACTGTAAATCGATATTCTGAAAACCCCTGAATAGTTGAGTACAGATTTTTTCTTAGCTTGGATGGCTTATATAATGACGGGTACTCTGCGCCTTATCTGATAAAAATCGTTTGAGTAACAACAAAGTTATTAATAAAAAATCATACCTGAATCGGGTGAAAAATATTTGTGTACCGTAACCGAAAAGAAAGTAAAATCGTATCAAATCACTTACTATTGATGATAACTGATACAATTGCGTAGGAAGCTTTAAATACATAGAAACCCTGAGCAATGTATGTAAAATTTATTAGGAAACATCGACTTGATCCCAAGTGACAAGAGATCCTTAGATTACTGATCCTCCGCATAAACCACTTGTCTATGCCGACACACAATAATACTAACGCCAATGAGCCAAAATGTATCAGACAGACGGTATTGTTGATATATTTCTTAAGATTTTTATATCTATATTTATATATTTTAATCATATCTATACTCCACAGAGGTTTTTTGACATGAAGGGACAGTAAAAAAAAATGATATGTCAAGATTTATGAACCATTTGGTCTGGACCAATTACGTTTGTGCAAAATATCAGATTATTTGTCTAATTTGTTTTAACTTCTAATGATGTTGAATGACAGAAATACGCAAAAACGAAGAGCGATAAACGCTTTTTACTAACATGGGGCAAAGAATCGTACAATAAGATTATAAGTATATTTTCATTAATATCTTTTGCATATCTGACAGTGCCTGAGTTGATTCCTGAAATGAATTCAAATTCTATGTTTTTTAACTTTCAGATTTCAGTAGATTTCCTTCAAGTGAAAACACAAAATCAAACCCATATCAGATAATTGCCATATATTAGCTAAGGAATCTGGTAATTTCGTTCCGATGTTATTATGACTAAACCCCGTGTATATCCGGTGTATGATCCCATACCGTGAACATAAAACAAAATTTATTCAATACTACTTCAAATCATAGTGATGCATAATATTTGATAAGAGTAAAAACTCTTAATTGTCTAAGAACAAATTTAATTCTCGAATATTGTATAATTATCGAATTAATAATGTATGGATGGCTATAGAAAGATAACAGAAAGCGTTCCATTGTTAAATAAAGTTCAAAGAACTTTTGAATATATACGATTGGTAACTTTAAAAGATAGCATATTGTTTTCTAGTAGTCAAGGTGATAACATTTTACAATTTGAGACTAATGGTGGAATGTGTTTTACTATATTACAGAATAAACATGATGATTTTGTTAGTCATATGCTTATCATGTTTGGTACATAAAATAGACCATGTAGGATTTAAAGAAATTGACCATCAACACAAGTATTACTCCTTACACCTTTGTACGCTTTAGTTATTTAATTTAAAATCGCATTCGAAATTCAGTGCGAAAATTCATACAACTTGTAAGACTAATTCAATACATTTTAGAAACTGAATGATAAGTGCCAGAAATGAAAAGAGTGTTACTAAAAATTTACCGGGGTCTTTAACTTCTTGTGGGCTACTTTCGGTTGTTTCAGATACAATTGTAACTGTAGTTGTGGGCGCAACAGTTGTTGTCTCAACACTCAAATCTGTGTCTACAATCAAAAACAAGAACACATACAGTACAATCTGACTTATTTTCAGATCTTTCAATGTTATGCATGCTGGTCTGATCGTTAATATGTCGATTTCGCCTTCCAGTCGATTTGGAATTTTCCGATAGAACTTTTTAAACCAATCAATCATCAGAGCAGCATTTTACAAATCATAATTATCAGTGAAAAGAGACAACACATTAATTTTACGTTTGTGGACATTTTTACTGCGGAACATTTTATTATATCTTTTTTTGCACCGAAGCGTTGTTTTAAGATTATTTATCCTAAAAGCATGATTGCCAATAATTTGTGTTCACCCTTTTTATCTTGAAGTCATGAAATTCACGTACACATTTTTGGTTTGCAAAAGGTTAAAAATTAGAAACTGGCCAACTTTAAAGAACACATGGCACTGATAAGCTGATTGAAATTTCATGAAAAGAGGTGAAGGTGACACCCTTTTGGTGATTGTCAGATCCTAAAATTTAGCTATTTAGATAATTTTTAATCAGATAAATTACCATGCGTAATATATCAATGTTTCAATAGTGTGCAAATCATATATTGCCGTATACTCAGAATAAATGTAAAAAAGACATTTATTAGGCACGACCTATAAATGCCCTTTAATCCAATTTTGCATGTTTTATATTAAATAATTTTGAAAAAAATGATTTATCAATTCTGTTAATCTAAAAGTGGTACATGTAGGATATTGAATGTTATTAAATTGTTAGTTTTGAGAATTTAGATTAATTTAAACGAAGGCTTGAAGGTTATGTTAACTTCCTAAAAGTAAATCAGAACTGATAAGTAAAAAGGCAGACATATTAACCACTAACACACCGCTCCCTTTGTAACAATGGTGCCTTGAGTGGATGAATTTAAAAACAGAGGGTTATTCCTTTTTCATGCCGCAACATCTCCAGAAGCACAAGGAGGCATTCAAATCCTGACCACAAGGAGAGATATTTAATTAGGTCCAAGGGCTTCCTCATATATTGATGCATAAAAGGTGTATGAGCACTATTCTTGCATATAAGCTTGTATCTATTCTGCATTTCAATATTTTCTTATATTATCTTATGTCATGATTAAATTTAACGTGGTCGTCTGTGCAGTCAGCTATTTTTACAAGGCGCCCTCGGTCACGCATATTTTAAAAACACATACAAACAGTGCATTGTGTTTTTATCCTGAACGTGCGCATTTTATATGCAAGAACAAATTTAAGTTACACTTATGTACTTTATTACCTTTATAAAAGATAAAATTACAGAAAAGGACAAAAACGAAAATTATTTTTTGTGTTCCTTTTTGCAAATGATATCATTGTATGATAAAGGAAATATGACAAACTTCAAAATAAACTGACCTAGACAGAATCTGCTATGGCATGAGGAATGTAGATCCAGAAAACAGTACACCATATAATATGTACAGTTTCTTATCTTTAAAGCTATGGTGGACTCACAGCAACTTGAAAAAGTTTTTACACAACCTACTCCATCTACAGTGCCCTCTGTATCAGCTGGCAGACTTCCTGTGATAAATACAAAGATTGTATATCTTAGTAATTATTTTGCTACCGAAAAACAGTACACCATATAATATGTGCAGTTTCTTATCTTTAAGGCTATGGTGGACTCCAGCAACTTGAAAAGGTTCTTACACAACTTACTCCTTCTACAGTGCCATCTGTATCAGCTGGCAGACTTCCTGTGATAGATATAAAAATTGTATAGCGAAGTGTTTATTATGCTTGCTACCGAGCCGTGGACCGAATAGTGAGATAAATAATCCCTTAACACATTACCCGATATACACGCCTTTTAACGCCTTTTTCACCCCTCCCCCTATTTGTTGTCCCAAATGGTGAAAAAGGCCTTATTTCTGCCCCCAACACATGACCCCATTGAGAAGTTGCAGCACTTTGAAATCAATTTGGGTGGAAAAAATCAACTCAAAATCGTGATTTTTGGCAATTTTGGGATATCCCCTAGTTGCACTGTTCACAGGAAATTTAAGACTAAGCATGTCGTTACCAAGGTGAAGGTCAAGTCAACATTTGTGCCAAGTTTGATAAGTATTGAAAAAGTTTTTATAGTTAAATAGCAATTTGAACTTGTATCGGGAGTTTTTTCCAATGAAAACAGCCATTTTTCACAAAATGCTCATGCAGTAAAGGGTTATTAAGAAGGACCAAAGCGACGGCAGAACTGAAAAAGTTGCAGGCTCGGTTTGATTGAGGACGTTCAATGACAGTAAATGAAATTGTAAGCTACTGTCCACGCACTTTGGCACTAGCTTCAGCGAAATGACACCTTTAAATATTGTAATGGTGAAATGGAAAAAATTTGAATTTAGAAACATCCGCCAAAGTGTTCATACGATCGCAGTCATGTTTAAATAAACCTCTGCCGTTTATTAATATAGCCAATCAATCAAAATATTCATTTTTTTAGTCTTACCATGAATGGCGTTCTTTTAGTCCATTATGTATTAATATCACTGTGAATATTCAAATTATCAATAGTTACATTATTAACACTCATTAACTCTTTGTTATTATTTACAAAATAAATTTATAACTTGTCATTTTTCAAAGACGTGGTGTCAGAATACAAAATTAAACATACCAAAATTTAAAAAAACAACACATTTTCTCAAAGTAAGAAGTAAAGCTAATAGAAATACTTTCAATGACAAAAATGACTTTATTTATAAATAATCATGCAGATGTAACAAGGTAAAGTTTGTAAGATTTGATAATACTATTAACGTTGCAAAAAAACGTCTAAGATGATTACAATGCTTACCATTAAGCCAAATAGGATCCGACGTTCCGCATTTTCTATGATCCACACATTCTGTTATAAGGTTATAACTACTTCTATACCAGACATCGTGCTGGAGTGCATGTAAGTCACAATACTTAGTATCGTCTGTTGATGATGAATGATCGATGGAGGGATGTCTGTCATAGACATAAGGCAACTCTTTATTGTAATTCAATTTACAAACTTCTGAAATTAGGAATAAAGGCAAAAAACATTTAAAAAGTTGTTTACAAAGCATAGTATTTCTTAAAATTTACCTTTATATGAAAGGCACTTAAAGCTACTTTCTTTTTAAATAAATCACAAGTCAGTGAGATAATAATCTATGTTGAAAGTATATTTCATATGCATACTTTCGTGTTTAATTATTGAGTACAGATTTAATGTCATACTTGCTTTCGTTTAACATCATTATTATCAACAAAAACAACACCAAAACAATCAATAAAGTGCCTACATTAGAATAAATATAAATATTTAATCCGGCGATTATCTCCACTTACCTGATGATGTTGAATCACATAAACTGGACGCTGAAATAACAACAGAAACTGTTGTAAATCACGTGTAGATAGAGATTAAAATAATTATTTCATTACATGTTTGAGTTTACAGCAAGGTTTATGTGAGAAATTATATCTTTAATTTACTCTTTATAATACCGATACTTTATATCTGTGTAACAGCATTTCCGCTCACACATTCAATATTAAGTTTTTGTCACTACAGCACACGTTTTCTTGTATTATTGATAACAATCCAATATCAAGTTTTTCAAATATTAGATTCGTATCTTCGAATTGTGATTTTTTTGCCGTTTTGCCTTTCTCTACACTGTATCATAATAGTTTACAAAATTAGATTTACAAACATCAGATGTAATAGTTTTGATAATCGCTTAAACCTAAGATGAACGATTTAGTATTATGTTTTATGTGTAATTTAAGTAACGATAAAAAGTAAATATCTTACCTTTTTTGAAGAAAACAATAGCCAAAATCAAATAAATATCCTTCATCATTAATGATACTCCTTCATTAATATTTCTTTTCATTTAAGTGAATTAATTCAAGTTATTTCTGCCTCATTTTAACATCAAAAAACAAAAATAGTGTAAGACAATAACAGTATGTTCGTAATGAGAGACGTTAATCAATAGGTAATGCATAATCAACCATTGTTACGTCCTATCAAATTTCAAACAAAATAACCACTCTGATAAAGACTCTATTAATAGATTTTTTGTTCAGTGTTTACAATGCAAGTACACGTTATTACAAAAAAAATAAATGTGCACATAATAGGACAAGAGAAATGAATCGCTTGTATACAATTGTAAAGTCTTTAAAAGGCTAGTTTTGATATAACAGGAACTTTTAAGCCTAGTCAAGAAGTTAATACCTATGCTGGAACATTTTCATTCTAAAATCTGTCAAAACATATGAAAGTTATTCAACGTGTCTTTTATTACAATTTGGTCTTGTTTAAAAATATATATATGAAAGAGGTACAAAAACTAAGCCAAATGTTGTTTTTTTATATCATATCTTTATATCAATATTTCTTAAAGGTATAAGGCAGTATGAATAAATTATTGTCTTTTTAGCAATGCATGGAGTAGTCTCATTCCTCTTATTACAGTTATAAATGCTATAAATGCGATCCATTGTTTTCTGCTTATAATATGTGTTGATCTAAAACGTTTGATAATTATATCGTGACGCCAACGGAAGTATAATAGATTTGTTAACAATGCGTGGTAAAGAATAATCTAGTTTAAAATTAAAATGTCAAAGGTAAAATCTGATAATCTTCGCCATTGCATGCACATCTTCCTTCAAATATCAATCTACACCGGCTGCATTGATTAAATAAACGGACTTCTGCACTTCTTCTTAATAGATATAAACTTTTTTTCTTATAACTATTCTTATAAGAATAAGAATAATAAGAGCAAATACACCTAAAATAAAGAAGAATAAAATCCGATTTTAAAATTTCAGTGAATCTATGGGATGGTTCAGTGGTTTAAACTAATTTGGCATGTAACAAATAAATCAGTCGTTGAAATTTTGTTTATTTGAATTAAGTTATCAAGTTATCTTTTATATAATAGCATATATTTACAAAGCTTTAGAAAATGATTTTTATCATCTATCTCAATGACATATTCTTATTAGTGATATAAATATTGTTTTTACATGGATGGTTGTCTCTTCCTGCATACCAGGATAATGCTAAAATCACCATTGTTTTTCTGTATATTTATTCTGACCCAACGGTTTAAAGATTGACATGCGTATAATATTGTTTTATGTCAAATAAAACAATGTTTGATAGCAATCGTCCTCAATATCTCAAGGCTGCATGTGTTAAATCGTTTGCATCTCTTATGATATACCCGCGTTATCATTTCTTGAGTGATGACTGAGAAATACTAAAGTAAGAAAACGAAAAATCGATTTTCAACAACAGATAAATCTTGACGGCCTACCCAGGAAGGATGCGGAAGCCATGCTCTTGTGAATTAAAATTGGCTAACTGTCTTGGTCCAGGGGATAAAGTTCGAATACCACAATCACGATAGCCATAACGCCTGGGAGAACGCATTTTAAACAGTTAACAAGTACAAATGTTGCTGCAATGCAGGAATTGAGAGGCTCCGCGCAAAACCAAAATCAACTCATAACAGATACCTTACCAAATTATTCCTACACACAGGTCATTTTCTATTAAGATTAGGTACAATTGTAGATTATTCCGGATGTTTTGTAAATCAGTTAAATTTGCATAATTATACTTAACTTAATTTTGCACTGTCCATGAGAAAAGGTCAGATATTAAATTAAAAAAAAATGCTTAACATGATGCCTACATTGTAAGTAAAATAATTCAAATACAAACAAGATTTACAAGATTTGTAAAGTGACATGACATTAGTGCAACATTGCTCAATGTGTGTCAATTTTGTAGTCAATAATATTAGATGATAAAAAATATCAAAGCATTTCTTTTTCACCTATAATGCAAATATCAACACCTAATCATGGTAAGAAATATACAAATCCATATGTAAATAAGCCAAACAAATACTTGCATCGACTTATTTTTATTTATCCAGATGTCCGTCACATGTTTTTCAGCAAATGGTATATCATAATATAACAAGAAAAGCATTGATACAAAGCATCAAAGATCGTCCAAGCAAGAAATGCAGCAGCAAGTAACGTTGAACAAGTAGACATCTAATGACAAGACTTTCTTTTCAATGGTAATTGGATTTTACCATAAATTCGGCATAATTGTATATCATAGATGAATGGTTGGACGAAAGACATTGTTCATTATAAACTTTGGTAGGCTTGCTAGACATAAGAATATTTAATGTATTTTCTTAGGATCATACAAAACAGCAGTCAAAATGAACAAAGTATAATTATTTTTTATTATAATTGTAACAAATGTACAAACAATATATAGAAATATTAACAAGAGGGACTAATATTGTAATATTACATGCTTTGTTTCCTGTCAAATTTGAAGAAATGGTTTCTATATTAAAACCTGGGACTTAAGATACAAAAGTTATATTTCAAATTCCAGATAAATATTGAAAGTAGAAGAATGAAAAAATTGGGATGAATTTTAAAAAGACCAATTTCAGGATTTTTTTATTATACACATTAACAAAAATAATGGTACGTTAAAAATCATGAATGAGTTTGCATGATATTATTTATTAATATAATGGAAGACTTTAACCTGAATTTCAGAGAGGTATGAAGAAATTCGCTAACATCATGTTCATGAATGTCAAAGATATAAAAGCTACTTGATATTGGTATAAAGAGCTATTGTTAATTGATTTATTTGGAGATCAATCTAATATTTTGTTGAATTGCTTCGAAATCTTCGCCTCACCCACCAGTGTGTTTACATTCCTATCAATAACCTATTACACTCCATATTAAAACTGCAGACGAAAACTTATGTTGTTAAAATGTCCCAGCATTTGGCGTCAATTGTTTCCGTCAGCAAGGACCTTTACACTCATTGCTTAAGTATTGGCTGGTTCCAGAATCGAATTCGATAAATTTTCAATAAGCTTATAGCTTCTAACACAAGCGAACTATGTAAATTAATTCAAACAAATAAATGCTTTTTGTGGTCGTGTGTTCGAATATTTTCGTTTGTCATCGATCTTCTTATCAACCCTGTTTATTACTTTTGACAGTAATTGCTACACTTGTTTAGAAACCCACACTTGAGGCAGTCAGCCAACTCTTTGCGAGAGTCAATGCCACAAAAAAGGTGTACCATTGATTCACACTTTGTATAAAACATGAGTGCTTGAAATATTTGAAAATCTTAAAGTTAAATTTTTTAGGAAAACAAAAAAATACATGAACCAAAATATTTACCGCAACTATTTACCATAATAAGTAGACGCACGAACTATAATGGTATCACATTATATCATCAAATTGAAATTATGTACATATTTTATTACATCTTTTTTGCCTTAAGTTAACATTAATGTGCAAAGATTAAACATATACATAAAAACATAAAATTTATAAATGATCGTGATATCAAGCAAATATACCATCTTTATTGTGTTTATAATAATACATGGATTGCAATGATAAAACATAAACATAAAAACATAAAATTATCATGATATCAAGCAAATGTAATTTCCTGTGAAACTATCAATTCAGCGTCAAAACCTTTCAAAAGTGTTTTCTCTTCATATTGCTACAATCTGGCCTCATCGGAACTATTTTCATGCGTTCTTAAGTCTTGTAAAGATATATTTGAAGGGTTTATCGCTTGGTACTGTGCAGCATTATCATCATTCGGGTCAGTGTGGATATCTGAAAGTATAAAAAAAGTTTCATGCTTAATTTGAACTATAAACATTTAAATATCAGTACTTTGGATGGACTTGATTCTACTTTTATATATAAGATATGGATACACATTAAAAGATACAAAAGTTTAATAATTATTAAAACAGCTTCAACAGTATCACTAGTCAAAATATTATTTAAAAAAACAAGACACTTACCCTCATATTGGGCAGCAGAATTACTATCAATTCTGTAAAAAAAACGTTTTCAGATCTATAAAAAGTAGTCGAAAATCAATTCAGACCAACATATAAAATATTCCATAAAAAGCGTAAGTAACGGTCCAGTCAACTAGTTTTGTCCATTTTTACAGTTATCTAGTTAAAGGAGGGGAATCACATATCACTTTATGAAACTGAGCAGTTGTTTATCGTAATGCTTATACTCATACAAAACATGCACACACCAAATAACATGGTGTAGCATTTTTCGACGGAATAAGCCAAACTCGTAATTTAACTAGATAATATGAAAGCAATGTTCATATGTCAGTTTCTCAGCGTTTCTGTAATAATGTTTTCCATCACTGTGAGTTAAATAAAAGTATGAAATATTGGTCCATAAGATTAATTAGTGTACATAAAATTAAAACGGCTTTAACAATTAACAAAAATATAATCTTGTTCTATCATATGATTTAAACTCTTATAAAACAATTATATAAATATAACCACAAAGCAATTATAAAGAGAGATGATGTCTATAATTTTGGGCATATTATGAGGTTATTATATACATTGTTGAGTACAATACTTTGTTCTTTTGGAAGAGTACACAGCTGTAAAATCTAAATTGGATGAGGTCTTAGACAGGTCTGATATAGGTTTTGCAACTGTTTCGAGTCCTTTGGAATCAGTTTTGTGATCAACAACATATAAAGTGCCTTAATTTCACATTTTTTATAATCTTGACAACTTTGCGCCTTCAAGTACATAAAGGGTATTTTTACTATGAACACATAAATATACATCTCTATCAAATGCATCATACACGTTTAATATAAACATTATAGGAAAAAGAAACATGGCTAAATTGATATAACACGTACAATGCTATTTTTCATTTTATTTTAAGATATGATGGAATTCTGTCACCACAAATAAAATTCACACTTTTTGGCATTATATTTTTCATGTTAAAGCGGTATTTGACTAACCTCCTGTTTATCGTCGTCACACATTTCCTAACTATATAAATGATTATGAATAGACCAATAACACTGCCAAGCACAGGTAATACGATTGTAAGAAGGATATTTTTATCATCATCTTTATCTTTATTCTGACAGTCTGAAAGTATATTTAAAAATGACTTTTTTTATTTGATCCTTGCAATTTTGGTTGAATTTTACGTCGTCCCAACACAGAAGAGGTCAAATAACGACTATACAGGTTTAAAGATTGAAGAAGAAAGTTAAAGTGAGAACTGAGTAGAACCAATGACATTCCGTGTGGCAAGACAGCTTCTTTGTATGCATGAATGTGGAGTCCGTCGGAAATTTGAACCCACAGCGGTAAGAAGTGGACGACCTCAATCACTCGGACATGGACATAACTTAAGAAACTGAATATGTTGATAGTATTACCAGTCTTTTACGTAATTTCATCTGACAATTATACTTTAACCTTTAACGAAACTGTATATAATTATAAATAGATTTTTGAACATAATTTTATCATGATATTGATTTTAACACGACATCAACACTTGTATACACTTACAGAAAAGGTGAAAAGCCGAATAAGTTATTGACGATATAGCTTACACAAACATATTACTGGAAGAAAAACATATTGCAAAACGTATGCTCGGTGTTATGCAAAGGTAAGATATTTAGATCTTGTTAAACACTACATGTAGATATTTAGATCTAGTTAAACACTAAACTTGATAAGAAACTAAGCGAGAAGGTACATCCTGTTGAGTCTGGTATTATCAAAGGCAAGTAAATTTTTAAAGAAAAATATTAATACGAAACTTAATTTTTACCTGTGGAGACGACTTTTTTAATGTTGACTTTCAATTATCTTTCAGAAGTAAAGCTCATTCTGATATATTGTTTTTTTTATTTACAATCTTAATTATTTTACGCTCGTACACTGATACTATATTTAATCAAATAGCCGTAGATACTGTTTTGTAACAATAGAAATAAAAAGTTATATTTGTACTTATTGAATGTTGCATGCGTGTTATTATTATGTTCAGAAAATGATTTCTCTGGAACAGAAGAACAAATACTTTATTTTAGACTTGTACGCAACTTATTCGTACATATCTTTCAAAATACAAAATATTTTGCTTTGAACACCAATTTATCATCTTCACCAATAAAAAAATATATTTATATTGTCAAATCATGATTTCATGTCAATAAATAGGACATTTTATCATTAATTATTTTCTACAAATGTTATATATTAAATTGATTGTAAAAGCATATGGCTTTATTTATTGATTGTGCCATTCCTAAATTAAAATTGTGCGCCTGAGATTACTTAACTTTTTTTAAGCAGACCAATGGAAAACTTACCATGTGTCCAATCAAATCTGTTTGATGAAGGTAAACATTTGTAGCAGTTGTCGTTTATTCGGGCTTCATTCTCTGTCACACAGTCATTGTCAATAAAACACATCCCATCCTTGAAAAGATGAAATTTAGTCTATTTGAAGTTTGGTTTTATGGCATATTTGTCTTGATAACTTTTGTCATGAAAATGTTTATGATGTAACATATTGTAAAAGTAGTTGCTATGTGATGTACGCGGTCATTATGTAACACATGTTTAATAGAAAATAGATCTGAATTATGATCATACTACTGTATCCCTTATGCATATGATATCAACGCATAGATTAAATTGTCCGTTATTATGTTACGTTGAAATATTTCGAAACTATATAACTGATAAACAGACCGCAATAAAAGCATAAGACGGTCATTTTTGATTTTTTATGTTATTTATTAACAAAATGTTTCACTATGTAACGTTTGCACCATAAGGGCACATTCACTTTGCAACATTTTAAGCCATGAACATATCGTACTGTTAAATTACATTCTAAACATAAAACTGATTTTGTTCAAACATTTTGCATAATGTATGTTCATTCGAACACTGTAGATGTAGAGAAACATGTCATAATGCGACTACCAGCTTTACTTTGAAGGAAGACCTCAGATGCCCCTCGGCTAAGGAAACACCGACGTTTGGTTAGCTAGCACTAGCCTGGAAGAAAGATTCCAATGTTCCTTATGGGATGTGAGCCTACAACAGTGAAGGGCAACTTGTTTCCGTGTAAATTATTAGATATCTTTTAATCAGTTTAAACTTAAAAATTAACAAATTTGAACCTTTAAAACGACCCTGGCTTGTCCTTGAATGTCTGTAAAATATTCTTGGCATGAAGAGTCGTAAACATGTAAGCTAACTGCCTGACCAAAATTGTTGCCATCGTTACTAACTGAAACTTCAAACTCATAGAACATGACCTCAGTCAATGGTCGTTTCTTCCAGTGATATTCAAAACAACATTCTCCAGTGAAAAGGTTAATGAAAATTCCATTCACAATGGATTCATCCACTGTTGTTAAAGTGCCATTTGATGAAACCTGTAGAACAAAGTATCGCCACGTATGTCATTACAAATTTATAAATCATTTGGTTAGGGCTACAATTTTCATGAAAAATGTGATATTACACAAAATTTTGTTCTTTACAGATCTTACATGGATATTTTTAAGAGCCTGATAAAAGATGTTACTTTATTTTCCATGACAAAAATCAAAATATTCATTTCAGCAATTTGTATATGCTATTTTTAATTGGTTTACACTTACGATTTTCAAGATTCTTTTGCAATGGAACGGATCTCTAAGCATGTCCATTTGCATCTCAGAACACCTACATTCACTCCCAAATCGTCTATCACAAAGCCCTCCACCTTCTACATCTTCTATTGTAGGCGGTACTTTAATATCATACCTACAATCTACACCATAATAACCGTTCTCACAAACACACCGACCTGCAATAATGTATACACAACGAATGACTTCAGAAATCAAAATCTTGATGAAAATTTATTCATGGAATGCTTTCTTTGATAACACTCTTTATAAAAAAATATATTTTCGAACAATGTTTTAATTTACACTAAAATATGACAACCTTCTTCTGTACAAGGTCCTTTGTCATTGCAGTTTGACGAACAAGACTGTTTCTTGAAAGAAATCAACGTCTCCCTGTGAGTTTCCGTAAAGTTTGCCTTCCTTTTGAATCCGATTTGTACAGCATCTTTCATTACCTCCACATGAGCATCAGACCACGTTCTGTCTTGACTTACCTGTAAAAAAACATGCAATTACTCCTTGATAGATATAGGGTTTTTTTAAACATTGACAGTGAATTATCTTTTGCGTTTTTGATTTTATATGAATTAATTAAGCAAGATACATTAGGAAAATAAAAACCATTCGGGAATGTTATGTAATAAAGTAGCATGTTAAATGTCGCAATTTTGTATTTAACACGTTAAGATCAATCAAGGCACTGAACATGACAAATTCCTTATTGACTCTAAACTGCAAAGTAAAATACATTTTTATTGCAATAAAAGAAGTACTACATACCCACTAGTAATTCTACAGATAAAGAAGTGTTATGAATGAAAACAACGTAATTGTGGTTTTAATTCAAAGAATTATTAAATTACGCTATTGTAGTTTTTATTTTACAAACCTATTTAGGTGTATTTTGTCAATGTTGGACACTTTTTCTCACTTTTTTCACTATTTTAAATATTGAAACAACAGAGATGTATAATTTTGATATTCTTATCATGCATTTCTTGAGAGAAAAAAAGTTTAGTGATTAAGTATTGAAATTTATATCTTGAATGCATTATTTTGATAATAACAATTTATTGTCTGCTATATGTAGATATGTTGTATCGGACCGTGAACACTAATTGATAAAACCTTGAAAAGTGCGATCAGTCCATTCACTATATAAAACTTACTGAAACATCGTATCTGCAATGTTCGATTATATGAGAAGTGTCGACATATCCTTCCAGTAAATTTGAAAAAGTTTCTTAGACGCTATTGATTGACCGATAGCATTAGTACAAAAGTCAATCGCTTGCTCATTTGATATGTTCTCTTGTTCATTGGTCTGCCTCTGTAAAAACAATGAATGTGTTAAATTTACAACAATAGATATTAAAGTACTGTTATTATTATAAATAACATTTCACTTTAATAAATGACAAGAAAATGTAACAGATAATGGTTATCATAAATAAATAACTTAAATATGTTAATGCATTAATTAGTAATTGACTAAATTACTTAATACTTGAAAAAATGTAATTTTCATTTATTTTCCAACAATTCTAGATTCTAAATCCATAATATATTTGTTACCTTTCGTCTTGAATTGTTTGTTGTATCGGCCAATTTTGCTCGCCTTTGCATTTCTAAATCCGGATCGACAGTAAAAGATCTTTTCTTTCGATTCTCGGGAAGGCATTTGTCTCTAAAATTACTACACAGATCGTCTGTTTTCTGTAGTTCTACAGTACAGTTTATATATTGTGTAGGAGAACAAACAGCTTCAGGATTAAGTGTGCGGCAGGAGGACGACAAGTCATCGCTAAAACAATCACATGTACAGAAAAGTTGTTCCCCATCTTCCTCCCATGTGCTCACGTTTGGATTGCAAGTCGGACTAAGGTAATTGGTGTCTTCAGAGCCTATTCTATAAACATATTCATAAGAAAAAGAGATACAATATGGAATAAAATCCGCAGCAATATAAGCAATATATAAATAAGGCAAATGGAAGTCTCGCACTGTAAAATATAAGCAAAACAAGTCAAACATGTCTTGAAACAAGAAATTCGTCGAAATGAAATAAAACCAAATAGTTAAAATCACAGACTAAGTTCTGTTGGGTCTCTTCATGATAAATTGTGGCTATTGCAATCTTTTACATGTTTAGCACGTTAATTAATTTTTCAAGCCTTCATTCTCAAATGAATGGAACCTATGACCCCGATGAACCGGAAGGCGTCACGTAATCTAAATAAACTATGATTCTTATCTATCTAACTGCATTAAAAACACTATTCCATACTTCCAAGAATTAATGAATTCCTCACTATCATCTAGAGCTTTTCCGTTTCTGTCATGATAGTCATTTTCTTTGATCGAGTCAACTATTCCGCACAGTCCTTTTGTTGAATTAAAGTCTTTAGGCGCCATGACTATATCAATGTTCATTAAATTAGTGTAATCAAGTTTACTAGGGTTTGGTCCGATTCGTATCTTTACAAGTGTCCCAATATGTGTCTCTACCTGAAATTTTCAGAAGTCTTTTAGCCATGCAGTATGTGGGTCTTTGCATGAGCTCTTTGTAGTTAAATAAAATCCTTTTTAGGATTAAATAAATGGTTAGGTATTTACAAAGTTAAAGAATTATTTACAAATCACCTATTAGGACTTGCAATAATTTGCCTTATATTGTAGTAAAATGATGGAAAATATTACATATGAGATATATATTGTTTTAAATAAATATAAAGAATTTAAGAAAGTTAACTATTTATAGTCAGAAGCTTTTTTTCACTGTTTATATATGTTATTTATTAATATGAAACGCCACCAAACTGTTATGACCATAAGCCCATTCATTGCAAGTAAAAATCTCAATGTAGAAAAACCTGATAATTGAGCTCGTCCTGTTTTCGAATGACCAAAGCACCATTATCTTTACATGCTGTCATGCCAATAAATTTTAAATCGTTACACAAATTTATCAAGAAAATATCTCCACCAGCACGTATTGCTACTGCACAAGTACAGAAAGGTCCTTTCTCTTCCGATTCCGAAAAGCACGAGGTTGTTTTTTCCTGTATCTACAAATTACAAAAAGTTTATCATATGAAACTAAACATATTATGTTTTTCACTTAAAAGTTTTTGAGTATTCTGTTTTGAGCTCAAGGCTGCGTTTCATAGAAAGTCCTAATTATATTTTAAGTTTAAGGACTTATAAACCATCGTGGGACTAACTTAAGACTGTTAAAGTAAATACTTTTTATCTTCAGTATATGTTTTAGACTTTTATTTACTCATTCCCCCGAGAAAAGTTACAAAATAAATACAAAATATATTATAAATGACATTAAATTTAAAAAAAAATAAAATAAAATAAAATTTGAGATATTACAATGTCTCTTACGACAATATTATATTCTGTATTCCAATACAAAATGAATTCTCCTGCAAATTCGTTGTTATCGTATATTCTGTGAAAGAACAAACCAAAGCATTTTATTACAATGTCTGTTGCTCAATCAATTCTTTTTTGTTCATTTATTTTAATGTGAAATCAACTGACAAAGGAGATATTTTAATTTGTTTTTCAATGTTTCTTTCTTGATTATTTTTGGATAGATTTTACCACATAAGGTCTATTAAAAATTTAAATAAAGTGAAATGGACTCTGTCTTTTCCTCATTTAGATATAAATAAGAAATCTGTAATATCTGATAAGCTCTAAATAAAACTGGAAATATAAAAGATAATGATGGTAAAGTGAGTTTCAATGTGTGTAAGTTTATATACTTTCCATCTCCTGTACACATGTGAGGATCTACATGTGAGAAACAAACTTTATCTTTGAAGTCAATATCATCTTTAATGTTAACCTAAAACAAAAAAAGACAGACTATTGTTTGCTTGTGTTTTTTTGTTGTTGCTGTTCCTTTTATCTTTTTCATATATTATTTCTTTAAATATTACGTTTTACATTTATCTATCGTATAGTATAAACCGGTTCTATTTACCATGCAGCTACACATTTACAGCTACTTTTATATAATTCATTGAATATTTCAGATACATAAATCTTCGATTCCTACGAAAATCACCTGATTTTATATGGTTGCATAATTTAAAGAGGTTTAATAATGTGGTTTTAATAATTGAATTAGTGTAAAAATTGAATAAGAAAATGACTGTTTTTGAGTTTTCTTTACAAACAAAATATACACTTTCATTCATCTTTTAATTTTTATACACTTTGAGTGTGACAATGTTAATTATCAATTTAATTGTTATTTACCACAACATCATCGAGGACAGAACCTTTCCAGATTTCGTGAGTGCCTGCACTTTGTGTCACAAGACGAAGTACGTACGATTTCGGATCATCGTAGCTAAGAAATCTTGTTGTAATATTCATAGCTGAAGTCTGCTTAGTTACACTACATTCAGGATCGCCAGGATAGCATCCCTAAGAATAATTTAACACAAAATATCCTTTTATAAACATTTTTTTTTTATCTAATACACTAAAAATGATAGTACTTTACCATTGTTATCAGATAAGAAATAGTGTCAAAAATAAACAAAAGGTGCTTATAAACAGTAAGTTAAAAGGCCAATCAATATTTATTTATATTTTATCTATGCCAAACTGGTTGCAAAAAATATTGCAACTTCTTTGTCATATATTCTGCAACTTCGTGTCTGAAATAACGAACATACAGACAAATAACAAAAGAAAATAAAATTCTATATACATACAGTATGCTATTTAATCTAAGACTGATTCTGATCAGTAGTTGCGAACGTTCAGTCTTTCATCCAAATAGTCTTAAATTCAGCTGTTGGACTAGAATTATTCAATGTAAAAGTATGCCCCAGCTTGTGTCAAAATTATGCATACATTCAAAAAGGAGTTAACTCCAAAGACATAAATGACAGATTGTCTGTGAAGATACAAATTGTTATAAAAATCAAAATCTTATCATCATTGATAAAATGAAAACAAAAAATTACTTTAAAAAATAAGATGGACTTACCAAAATTTCAAAACCACAGAGCGCCTGAAGAGATTTTATATTTTGTGCACCCAAATTTGTATCAGAGAGCACACACCTATCTCGCTCGGGAGAAAACAAATGGACCTTTGTTCTACAACTAGCTGTGGGTATAGGTCTATCTTTGGGTGCATAACAACCATATGGAACTGTCGGTTGAATGTTTAGTGACTTTATTTCGTTTGAAGACATCTTAATCAAAGTTTCTTCAATCTGAAATAAAAAACCTAACTTATCTTTCTATTTAAAGTATTACTAAAATACGTCACATTCTGTAGCCGTTTTTTAATATTTCAGTACTCATATCATGTATCATTGAAATAAATCCTGTTGAAGGTCTTGAAAGACCGAAACTGGTAGATTCTTAAATAAACCAGTTTACAAAAATATTCTGATGTGTGACGTGTGTTCTCTCCTCTTGATTTACTTGTTGTTTTAATAACATGTATTGTACGAGATGTATCGACTTACAATATAAATATTGATAATGAATTGATTTATGTTTTGCTTTGTTATCAGATTAGAATAAATATTAACCAACAACTTTTTCTATTTCCTGAAAATATAACATCGAACTGACTCTAATTCGAAAATGATAAAACAAACTGCGCCTTATTCCTGAAATTTACCTTTAATTCTGAATTAATAACAACAAACTTACCCCAATTCTGAAATAAAAACAGCAAACTTACCCTAATTCCGGCAAAAAAACTTTCACTTTTAAACAATTTTGTCATGAGACCAGTTGCGTTTCTTGCAAGTTTCACACCACACTGAATCTACAAATGAATGGAATACTTTATCAGTATTATAAAGTCTTCATTTATTTCAGCAAATGATTAAATCTTACCAGATAGATAGGTTGTTGTTTCATAAGTTAATGTGCAATATTTAGAAAAAAGCGATAAATCTTTTTACCATAATGAAATTATTACATTTCAATCTGTGTAAATTTTACTGGAAATTTACCATTATGCCGAGACTGAATCCTCGTGAAAGCAGACTGTCTTCAGTTAAATTTCCAATTCCTTCATATCCTTTTTGTACAAATTCAATAACACCATCAATGTACCTGAATAAATTCAAAAGGAGGACATATCAGATATTCTAATGTTCTTTTCCAAAGAAATGAAATAAACGCTACCATCTGACACATGCAACCATTCATGATTCATCAACATCATCAGCAAGTGTCAAAGGTTGAACATGTCTTTATTCAATTCTGGTTTATTTCTTATGACATTTCAAGGAAAGAAAAAATATTCAGTTTCAACTGGAATTAATATTTTAATGCAATGAAATAAAGCACTTAAAAGGTATAAAAAGTATACCAGTATGTGAAGTAAAACAAGTTTTGACTCCCTCTGTCGGTATCGCCGCTTTCTGTACATACGAAAGCAATGTATGGTAGCAACGAACCAGAAACTTCCTTAAATCTAAGTTCCGACTTTACTGTTAATGTACTTATTGATTCAGTCGGAGCTTCAGAGAAATCTAGAATAGAAGGCATATAAATAGCAGTTTGACACAGGTATAAGATTTTATAGGTGTATAGCTAATGTTGCTTAATATTATTAAAACATTCTAAAATTATACCAATGTTGTGACAAGAGAAAAAACGATATTGTAAAATACCAATTTTGAAAGTCATGAACATTCAATTTGCGAATGCAGTTACTCTCTTATGAATAATATTTAGCCAATTACACATTTATTTAGTGAAAATTTCTTCACTTAACCGTCAAAGGAAAAATATGAAGTATTCTTCTTTATATATTTTACATGCTAGAATGATATTTATTCTCTTACACTTAAACATAACAAGTATATCGCTATTTTTATAAGGAGTGAACGGATAATCATACCTCTCACATTTTGCAAATCCGGAGGATCTGAAGTGAGAGAAATGAGTTTTTCTTGTTTATTATAAAGTATGAGTAAAACCTTTTGAAATCTATAATAATCCAACATGTGCAGTGGGTTTCTTTACAGAATTCGTTAAAACAGTACTTCTCTAACGACGATCAAATATTCCATTAATAAAATCTGATTTATGAATTGCTTTCAAATGTACACGTACAAGTATAATACATATGTTTCGATTCCTTAGCCAGTAACTTTCCACATTTACCAGGACCAAGCATTACAAGTGTAAATATAGTAGAATAATAGCAATAAAAAAGAATGAATTTTGTCAAATTGACATACAAAAAGTCATGTATTATGAAAATGTGAAGAACGGGAGATCCACCGAGAGCAATATAAACACAGTTTAAAAGTAAAACTTCCAGACTTGGATTGATTGAGTCTGTTCATGACAGATACTTAAATTGAACATGCAACATCTCTCAGGCCCTCTAGTACCGATTTAAACAGTATTCAACATTTTACGCAATTAAATATTGGAATAAATGAGCCACAAGTACAAGACAAATATATCAACACTGAAGTGAGGAAATTTTTATATCTTTACTTATCTGTCTACATAACTTTGATTTTACATGAAAATCTTTCAACCCAGCACATTTCAATACATGCCGTTAAGAATTGGACAACTGGTTAAAAAAATGCCTGTCAGTTTAATTGCATAAAATAAATTCTTACCAAAACAATAAGCTGCATTATTACTTGTTCTTGGTAGGTAGTATTGCACTGAACCGTCACATATCCTTATCTGGATTTCAATTTCATTTTCACAGACATTATGAGGATAAAGCTCGCAAGCGATAAATGTGTGTGGTACTTCATTTAATGTACCTTTATCTGGATGTGTACCTTAAGTGAAAATAAAGAACTTAACGGCTAATTCTGACATTACTTCTTCAATGGCGTCAGCTGAACTATTAGCCCGCCCTTCCTAGCAGAAAAACATATTAAGCATTGATTAAGTGTTTGATTACAAAGTAGTTCAGTTATTGTATGATATTGCATACGAACTGAATGATTTGCTTAAATAATTATAATATACATATTTAACAATAAAAAATGCTTCATTAATATTACCACTGAGATAAATAGGTTGGATGGTTCCACACTGTTCATACGCAGGCATCGAATTTGCATCCGGCATCAAATATTGCTGGCCATCAAATGACACTTTGTACCATTGTGGCGATAAAAAGTTGTCGACGACAATGGGGTCACTGCCTTGTGTACCAGCTGCATCTGCCTTGTATGTCCGCGATCTTTTGGCAAGCTCCGGTAACAAAATACTATTTTCACAGCTTCCATCTGTAACAAACAATTTTTTACTTTAACATATCTTTAAAACGATAATTAAACAAGTTAAGCAATAGAAAGAGCATCGAAACACGAGGCTATCTGATTTTTACGAGGGGCGTAGGTTGCCGAGTAATTTGATGTTCTTTCTCTTTTGTATCATAGACAAAAATAAAAACACGTTCCATTTTGTCACAGTATGAAACCTCAGAACAAAGTTACCAATGATCTAGCATCTGAATATGACATTTCTATCGCTATCCCTTTTTTATCATCTCTCACAAAGTAAACGCCAGGCAAAATGAGGGAATGAATGGACATGCGGGTAACTTATACATGCGCTCCAGTTAATACACTGTGAATGTATATGTATGCTATTTAACTCTGACACATTTTCAACAAAAAGGTTCCCATATTATGATACAACTAGTATTTTACTCATTGCAAACTCCTATCTGAAGCAGCTTGGCATAGCGATTCCCGTACAATTTAGATATATCCTATATCGCATATATCACTTGAACTGATACAAAAAAATACATCCAGTGAACGTGCTATGTAAATAAAGAAAAATCCAATTTGTTTGATTTAAACCTTTCATCTTATATAAAATTAAAAGAACCTCTTTATATATGTATGTTTAACCAAACAAAAATGAAAAGAAAAGAAAGAATTTCAAACGCTTTTAGTATTGTTCCTACCTTATATTGGTTGGTATAGTATTAAACACCCAGGAAAAAAAACAGCAATATATTTCATAAATTATAGCAAAACTCAAAATATCAGAGAAATTTGCAAACATCATAATGAATGAAAAAGCTACATCTGTCAAACTATGAGTTGACATTGCATCAAATGTTTGCAGTTCACCTTACAGAAACTATTGTAAATATTTTTGCAGAGCAACACCGTATAGGAGACAAAACATTTGGTTCTTGCTTAGAGGTGTTGCTCTACAGAGGTAAACTATAATGGAAATCTTAAATTTCAGAATAAATATAATTGTTGTTGTAAAGAGATAACTGGTCTACAGAGGTCAGCTTTAAATAGGTTATACTGTATATACAAATATCTATTCTTATAGAGATAGAATACTGCTTTATTTCAACTTTAAAATACAATTAGTGGAATGAAGTGATTATCTGAATTGTCATACTATTCTAGAAAACGTTATTGAAAAGTTTGTTACTTGACAATACCAAACACTTCTAGATATTCCAATTGTTCCATTTTTTTTTAACAATTCACTTTAGTTTCATTCATTTCGTCATTTTTTTCTTTTCGACACAAATGATTGTAACAACTTTGATATACTAGTACAATAAATAGTATACATAACTTTACATTTCAAATGTCATTGTAAATGTGTGGTGACGGTTCTCGAATTGTCTTTGAAAATGGGCATTTTTATCAATAATTTGTTTATTGATATACACGTCGCTTTTATACGTATGTTAAATAAATATGCCTGTAACTAAATATTCAAAAATAACACATACATCATGGTAAAGCAATACTATTGGTAACATGAGATGAAAGAGATGAAGGGTTTGGTATTCGAAAAGATGGGTTGTAAGAGATATATACCATTTTCAAAAGTTAAATGTTTCGCATGACATTTATTTGTAAGGGCGTAATAAGTCTAAAATATTAATGTTGAATTAAAATCATTACGTGACTTACTTCATGTTTGCCGGTTTATCTCAAAAACATTGTATTTATTACTGTAATGTTTAAAGTTATGTAAAGATTAAATCTAAACGGTATATTTCAAAAAAGAATTTTTGACGCAGTTGCAAAAAAAGATTTAAGATTAGATAAAATTACAATGCATCAACTCCATAATGGATTAATTATAACGACACAAGAGTTATCGCAAACAAGGAATCTAGGGGGTCAATTCAAGCGTCCATATGAAATTGTTAGTATTCCGATATATATCACTAGAAGGCAATGCTATTGTCTATCTAAAATCAATTATAAACTTTATCAATTGCCAAAAATAAACATAATCAAAATACAATACAATACAATGGATAGAATAGTACCCTTTTAAAAAATAATCAAGACGCCGTGAACAAAAAAAGCTTTTGAGAAACAAAAACATTTATAATGCATAATTTTGCCTTTTAACAAAAAATATTATTGATAGTTAAGAATTTATACCCGAGACAAATATTAAGTATTATGAAGGGTGATAAGATATGACAATTCTTACTTCCTTGTAATTGTACAATGTTTCGTGCAGAATGTTTGCAATCAAAAGGACGTCTTGACAACTATAAACGATCTTTTAGGTTTAACAACCAAATTGAAATACCCTTTATACCTTTAAATTCATTGTTTTTGTCCTGTCTGTATTATAATAGGAGGATCTTTCATGTAAGGGTTAAAGTTGTCCACTTTGTCACTGAATGATGTAAGGACTTTTCCAATATAATCATAATAGTACATTTAAATGGTTACCGATTTTTATTCTATTTATTTAATTTTTTTCTATTTTTTTTTATTTATTTATTTATATTGGAAATGTGCTTAAATGTGTCACACATCTTGTGTCTAACAGTATTGTAATGACATAAACGACGTTTAAACGATCGCTCAGTATATTTTTGTGACTGATATTCTTTTTGTCATAATTTATAGTCATGAAGGTTGATATTCCCTTTAGAGTAAACCTACAGGTTAAAATTAAGGTCTAGGCGAGTACACTTAGATGTACACGTTACAACGATATGTTAAGAAAGTCCTTATTTCTTTCATTTGGTGTATATCAACATCATACTATTGTTACTGTTCGCTCAGAAAAAAACCTAATTATAGATAATTTTACTGACTCTTGGCTGACATTTGCCTGTTAAAGTAAACAAAATACTTATAAATGAAATATTGAGAAATATTGATGAAATAAAATGCGTATTTTCATTTTCCATATTTTCACTGCAGCAAAGCATATTTTCCGTAATTTCACTGCATTGAAACATATTTTCCGTATTTTCACTGGTGTCTTGCCGTACTACTTTTTGCTAAATTCAGCCAATATACAAAATTTAAGGGAAAGTCTTTCAAACTGTCATTACAATAATACATATACGGTATGACCTTGCAATCACTTCCTTTATGTTATTTAACTATTAGTAAGATTATTACTAGTAAAAGTTTGACATACACAGCAAATTGAACAATTATATGTACACTTAATTGACCTTTCAATATCGAAGTGACCATCAGATAGACCAAACAAAGCCGACATGTTCTTTCAGATATCTACATTGATATCAAAGCATTGATTTAAGTTTGTTTCTGATAACAATGATATGTGAAATTCGTCATTATCTTTACTTGATGGGCGAGATTTAGTTTCCGAATTTTTTTTGGCTCTCCGATGGTTCTTGTCAATGTTTTTATGGACAAAATACATGTCGCCACATGCTTTTAATTAGATGTTTCAAAGATGACGTCACGTTGCGTTAATGACCACATATGATTTATCATGCTTATGGCATTGATTAGCAATTTCAAATCATGTATCTCGTAGAAACCAACGTCACACAACTATTAGTATATAGTTTTGCTGTCACGAATGGTACAATATACTATCTACATTATCAATTGCATACCTCAATATGGACGAAATAAATTTACATTTTGACATATATATATAAAAGAAATGCTAAACAATTCTAAATTATTTATAACTATGCCGCGTTATGATGCACGTTAAGGTAAAAATAGCATTATTTTATGTCATTTTTATGTTAATACAGTCATTATGAAGTACAAGCATAAAAAAATATACCAAAGGAATATGTGACTATTAAGATTTGAGGAAAATCGTTGTAAGAACAACAAAGTCGCTGAAAGAAAATGTCATTTTACCCCTCTGGTATTAAATGGGAGCTGTAATAGTACAAAGACACAACATGCACGGATCATTCACATGAAAAAAGAAAAAACGCGTTTCGAACCCCCAGCGGCGGGGTATTTGATACGATGTCAACGACTTAAACTTTGCGATCAAGGAAGAAGTCCCATGTGTAAAAAATGTCTTACGATAAAAAAAAACAGTTGTAATATACAAGTGTTACAAATGAGACATTTAAGTGTGCAATACTATTGTAAATAAATAAACAGGACATTAAATTATTTCAGTAAAAATATAAAATAAAAATGACATTAAAAATTTAACATATACAACTTCGTTTTAATTGTTGCAATAAAAGAAAACTAATCATATATTTAAACTTACAAGTCTGATAAATATGTAACATCAAAGTCAAAATGACTATTAATCCATTAAACATGATTCCAAACTAATGAGCTGCAGTACTGCGTGAAAGATAGTAGTTCTTCTGTTTTACTATTTTGTCCTCATTCTTTTGTTCTATCAGTTGTAAGTTGCACATAACCGTCTTTATAAAGTATTCAAACAATAGTATCATATTACACGAATTTTTATAGCCATATTTGGAGTATTTTTACAATACGGCTAACAGGCTTTTGTATATATTATAACAAAAGTTTTATTATATAACATGTATAATGGAATAAAGCTAAATTGTTATTGTGTCTGCCTCTAAACCTAGCGCTAGTGGGCTCGAGTTTCACTAGGATCACGACCATGCCTCTTCCTTACATGACACCAGCCTAATTACATTCAGGAACTGACATCAGTACTAGTTTATTCCAGGAAGCAAACTCGAAAGTTATTCTAAAAAGAAATGATTTTAAGATTACATTCAAAGTTAAATAAGGAGAGTTTAATATTTCAAACTAAACTTTAGTCTAGTAGATTACAATCAAAGATAAATAGAGATTCACGTAGTTGAATATGTTTAAACTAAACAAGTAGATTACAATCATAGATAAATAAAGATATATGTAGCTGAATATGTTTAAACTAAACAAGTAGATTACAATCAAACTTAAATTAAGACAACAGTAGATTACTATGATCAAAATTGATTGCTGAATATGTTTATACTAAACAAGTAGATTACAACAGATGAAATAAGAATAGTTGCAAAAATCAAGATAGTATTGTCAATAATTGATTTATCTATAAATATTTGGTGGTGTTGTTAGTTGACTATCTGGATCACGACAGGAAGCCACGTTAAATTTACCAGATCATATCGTTCTTGGGTAAGCTGTCCAGCCGTTTACCAGTACTAGTTGCCTTCACTTTCGCAAGGAACTGATATCTCCTGTACATGCAAGAGCAGAGATACTGTGCGAATGACCATACAAAAGATTACATGATCGATCACAACGACATTGATCTGCACCGTCCGGGAATTGAACCCTGATCGCCCGATTCACAATTTAATGCTATTTCTATTCAGTTCACCGAACGGCTATGTTATACTATTTCTGTTTGAAATTCTAAATAGGTAAACCTTTGACTTTGTCACCAATATAGAGATAGGCAATTCAGCAGGTATTGACCGAGTGTCCGTGCAGTCTAGCCAGGCTCTATAATGTGGGTTTCTCCCGTTTTTGTATTTTGATATTGAAATCCGTTGTAGATTCCTTAAGATATTCTGTATCGCGTGATCATATTTGATTATTGAGCATTACCATTTAACATTTTAATTAGCAAATAAGGCTTTTTCCTTTGTTAGGTCACGCATTGATTATATATCATATATGATACAACTGTGGCAAAATTCCCAAAACCTAACAAAAGAAGTTGAAGTAAATTGTCCCTGATAGAGGGTATTTACAGATATTTTTCTGACTTATAATCTTTCCGGATACACACAATATGGCGCTCTTCCTGCTTCTGTGCTTGTGTTGCCTTCTTAAAGCTGGTAAATTATTTATGTTTTTCATATTATTATCATTTACTTTACAGAACGTTGAGAAAAGCTGGCATTTTTTGTCAAAAGATTCAATCTTTGTACAATAATATAACTTTATGTTCTAAATTAAGATAGCTATGAACATTTCATTCATAAACATGTACATGCATTTTAGTACTAAAAGTTTCCTCATATTTGTATAGCATAATAAATGTCAACGAATACTGAATTTTGTATCGTACTGGAAATACTGTTTGGTCTTAATAACACCAATGCATATTATTCACTGACATTGTCATTTCTGTCTAATCTATTCTCTGACACTGCCAAATTTTCTTATTTATCCTCTTTAATTGGTCTTATTATTTTCTTTACATTTACAGTATTCATATGTTCAAAGTTTATATTACTTAATGGACCATTCTTTTGTTTTAAAGGAAATGCTGGACTTTGTGACGCAACGGATTTTGGTATGTTTAATTTAACTGCAATTCCATTACATCTTAACCTATTGATTTCATCATGATACGCTTTTGTATACAATGTTATTTACAAAATATCGGCCAATCGTTTGTGGTGTGTTTAACTATAGTTTGGAAAATTTTAAATTATAATGTAAATTACCTCTTTCCAATTAATGGAAGGGAGATAAGTGCAACATCAAATAGTTTTACCATTAAACAGCATATTTGACAAAATATGATATTATGAAATAGTGTATGTACAAGGGGTGCATTTTTTGTTATTTGTTTTCTTCAAAACACACACACATAGAAAAATCTAGAAACTCAATAAGTGCTGATGTTTTTTCTTTACATTATTCAAAAAATGGCAGGGTTATTACAAACATATACATGTACGTATTTTCCCAACATCCCTCGTAGAAACCTGAGCAATGGTCGTCAAATGCAAGATAATTGAACATGTTACATGGTCTACGTACAGTACTGAAAGTTAACGTCAAAGTATCATTTCAATTATTTGATAAATGTTCATAAATGATTATATCTTATTAACCAATTTGCAACATATACGTAAATGATTCTGAGCCTATCATATTGTTCTATGATATTATGTTGTTGTTGTTTTTTCAGATCCGTGTTTGTTTAAAAACAACTTAAACATTGTACCATATTTGAATACCAGACACCCTTCAGTTGATTTCTCGAGAACGACAGATGACACTAAATATTGTGATCTTTTTGCTCTTGATCATGGAAAGTGGTACTGGAGCAGTTACAACATGACAAATTACTGTGTCGATCATAGAAAATGTGGAACTAACGACCCGATTTATCTTAATGGTTTGCTTTTTTCATCATTTAAATTTTGTTACCAATCTAGTCTTTTTATAAACAGAACAGATATTTTATTAAGATTTGTAAATTGTACATCATCTTTAATACAATAATTTTACAAACATAATGTCAATATAATGGTAATAGCAATCATGACATTTTTCAAAATTCTTAATCTTGTAAAAAGAAATTTAATTTAGAAATGTATATACTACGAATTGAAAAAGTAAAGACATAAGTAAAGGAGAATAGGCAATTGTGATGTTAACGCCCAACATTTAACAGTGTCTTTCTCAAAGCAAGTGCTTCTTGAACAATTTTGAATAACTGAATTAGTTTATATTTACTATTTGTGTTCAATAATAAACAAATTTATCAAATTGCATATTGTAATTGATATTTAAATGATAAAAATGTTACCTTTATATTCAAGGAAGCATACCAAGTCCAGAAGACAACGTTATTGATGCCACAGCTTGTGTTCGAACGTTTGGAAATTGTTGTGCAAAGACATTGAATCTGAGATTAAAGAACTGCTGGGATTTTATGGTGTATTGTTTCCCTGACCTTGAGTCCTCTTGTCACAGCAGATTCTGCTTCGGTAAGAATTTTTTAAAAAACCAACTTTGATCCTTTTTTACTTCGACAATCGAGAATTTTGTAATATCTGATCTTTATGGATAATTATTGCATTATACATTTTTATGCTTGTTATTATGTTACGCATCTAACCGTTACCACGATAAATATTTTAAATGGATCTTTCAATCTGAACATAACCATTAATCATTTTGAGGGAAGTTTTCAAATATGTATTGATTGAATAGTAAACAGTGTGTGTGCCCATGATCAGACGGCACACATGTGTCAGCTTATCTTAGCCTGTACCGGTCGCATGGGTAGAATTTGTTGCCACTTAAAGACGAATTTAAACGAGATAATGGCCTACAATTAGCATTGTTACCCCTCACTTTGTGTGTAATGTTAATTTCTCATAGGCCAATGGGCGCTATTTATACTGTTAATGCAAATGTACCATGTGACTAAGAACATGTGACTAAGAAATTTGTACTGTCACTTAGTCTATTTTCTAAATAAAATAGAATAAATTCATAAAAAATATCATCACAGTTATTGTTCGGGATAACGCCTCGAGTAACAGCATTTTCCTCGGGATATTTTACTGTTACACAAACCCATGTGTTATTTTTATATTATTACTTATAGATCTTTTCATGCATTATTACACATAGTTACGATCTTGTTTAGGGTATTCTGCATTCTTCTAATTTTTCTTTTTTTTTCATATATAAGATATCGACTTAAAAGTTGAAACAACAACACTATCAACAACAATGAAATCAACAAAAACACCAACTGTTGACTTGACATATTTGATGGATTCAGATAGTGATAGCTGGGAAGATAGAAGAGATGTATATACTGACAAACAAAATGGTATGAAGTGTACAGTGAAAGAGAAGAGGTCAAGCCGGTGCTATATACGCAAATCATTTGCACAAAGTCAACCGCAATTTCAAACAGTGGCAGATTTTAAGATATAAATGACAAACTTAAGTGAAAGAATTTTTTAATTCAATTCGACATTTGTTTTAAAGAGCAATTCACCAAGAAAAATGATCAAATTACATTTCCATTTATTGTTTCAAGTTAAGGCATGGTTTATTTCCTACCAGGGGAGAGTGGGTGCAGTATTAATCTAATTTTAAAAACAATTCATAGTTCAAAGTATGCCAGGTTTTAAAATGGCGGTTGACCTCGTGAAAGTGTTTCACGTATTGATTCGATATGGCCAAATTCTAAGAATGCAGAATACTTGGCACAAATGGGCATTTCAACTTGTAATTATCGCAAGGCTACCCGAGGTAGCTATGGGGATAACGTGCTCTTCTGTTTCAAAGTACAATCAATGGTCAGGAATGCATTTTGATTATATTGCCTAATACAATTCCTAATTCCTAACAAATGATTGCAAATACATAATGATTTTATGGATTTAAAGTTAATACCCGTTCAAGAAAAGGGGAATAAGCCATGAAACATTTATGGTTTTAAATTATTCAAGTTTTCTTATAGACTAAAAGATTCAATATCATATTTAATCTTATTAAAAAACTGAAACTGTACAGTTATTTTGATATCCATACAGTTTTTATACAAAATACTATCTTAAAAACAATACGTTTCAATTCTTATACTCGAACCTTTCAAGTTATATTGTAACGAAAGTGAATAAAGAATGAATTGCTTTCATTAGAAAGAAGTAGAAGGTATATTCGACCCCTGCTGCAAACTCCCTCCGCCCGGTATGAAAATTAATATGTATACATGTAGCATGTCAGTATTTTCTTTTCCGTTTACAGGAACGTGTAGGACAAGTTGGGTGAAAATTGCGTTGATAGTTTGGTTTTTCGTTTCTTTAGCAGTAATCATAATAGTGTTTGTCATATCTTCAATCGTTTACAGAAAGTCAAAAGGTAATTACCCATCGTCATGTATGCATGTGAACACCGAATAGCATTATTCCAAAATTTACAGATAAGATCCTTTAAGAGCAATAAATAACACGCCCCCCCCCCCCCCCCCCCCCTCCAAAAAAAAAGTATGAGTAAAATAATTAAAGTGTAAACTATTTGGACCTTTTTTGTTCTATATATAAGAGTCTAAATCTTTAAGAATTATAACTTTCCATAATCTTAAAATATTCAAATAACTGCAATTAGAAGAAAATTAACTGTACTGAATATGTATTATAAATAAATACGCAAATGCCACATGCATATGAATATTAGCTTTTAAATACTTCAATTGTACTATTTTTCAATGTTTATTTTTTGCAAAGGGATTTCTAAAATCAATATTTCCTTTTTTGTAGGTTTTATCCATGGAAAAGATGAACAAACCAATAAACTAACGATGTTGACTCCATGAACAAAAAGTACACGTGATTGTTTAAAATTTTGTGAAGTTGTTTTAATCTTAGAAATCGCGTATCATATTGCTTGAACATATATGAAATGAGGCTTCATTGACGGGGAAAAAGAATAATGTATGAATGGAGGTCACAAGTCAAAAGAAGGAACATTTTTTACCGTTTTGTATTGCTTTTTTCTTGTCTTTTTATTAACATTTTATTAAAACCTTTTCACACTCAAAAATGTAATTATTTTCAGAATCATTAACCGTAACTTTTCTTATAATGAAATAATCGGAAGTTATGATTTTGGCTACAAAAGTGATTGAGGTTTTTGTTATAAGTAAAGCGGGCAATCGAGGTTTTTTTGTCAAGCCGTTTATATCTCTTTTTGTATTGTTTTTATTTTAAGTTGACATTTTACTGAACTCTCCTTTTCATACACAGGAAAAGGGATATCTTTGAGACAATCAAAACAAGACAAAAAAACTTGTAGATTTGGTTAATAGGAAATAAATGATTTACGTGTTATTTAATTGTAGTTAATTTATTAATATGTCATACTTTTTTACTTGTCAAATATACATTTTGATAATGATTTTAGTTACTGATAATTGAAAATTAATCAGACATGCAAGTGAAAATAAAACTTATCGTTATATTACTTTTCTAACGTTTTATATAGCTGTTAAAGTAATAATATGTCAATCCAAGGGTATATAGTGAGTGACCGAGTGAAAGTCAACTTAAGTTTACTTTTTGCCAGAAACTGTTTCATTTGCATGAACAATAAATAACTCACGTGATCCAAGAAACTTTATGTAAATTTCCATCGGAATTTGCCTGTATAATTAAATTTATAAATAGAGTGCGGCATTCTTTTTATATTTTAGGCAGATTTATATTTTACCGAAACATTTTCCAATAGCCACTTTTGGTCAATCACCATAAACAAAGTCATTCTTTTAAAATATATAGTCAATTCAGCTCAGTTTAACAGTGAAAAGATGAGCAAAATGTCACCTTTTTTGTTTGTTTTTACATATAAAAACTTGCTGGAGATAAAGGACAGGTTTAGGGAACGAACATATTTCGAATCATCTTTGTTTGTTCCGAAAAATAGCCACTGTATTTTTTGCATATTATCATATTTTTGTTCATTAACCTTTTTGTGTTTACTTGATGTCTTTACTCAGACAAATAAAAGATAATAAATGTTTGTTTTATAAGATTGATAATTTCTGTACTAAAAATGCAAACTATAAAGCCAAACAAAGAAAGATGTTTACAGCGTACACACTTGAGCAGCACTGGACTACTTTCTAATGATATAAACAGGAAGGGGGTAGTAAATACGTGTATATAGATGATATTAACACTATTGATTTGAATCATATAATAAAATGTTAATAGCCCATTATAAAACATTTGTTGACCCGCCCCATCATAACATTTTTAACACAAATGAGGCATCCATTCAAAATTTATTTGGAAATTGAATAAACAAAGTTTTACCGCAACGTTTGTCCAACTCGTTATAAAACATAAGTCATTGAGAATAAAGAAAGACGGAGAAAGGGCGGGTCTCAAATAGTGAATGTCACTTTCCCCATCTTGGTATTCCTTTTCCTAACGATGGCTCATGGAGTGCCTACCTAATGGATATTACTCACAAAGCTTGACAATGTGTCAACTTTTTAAGTATCACTTGAAATTGTTTGTATGTCCTTCATTCGCCCGCTTCTTGAATATGTGGATGTAGAGCGAGACAATACCACTGCAGAATCTGAGGAACTCGAAAGCATATACAGAGGATTATCACGGAGCAAGACAATTGGTTTCATTTGTAAAACTTTAAAAGATTCTTCTCTTGAGCCTCTTAAACATCTAAGACTAAAACATAAACTAATTCTTCTTTAAAAAATGAGTCAACCCATTATAATATCGGAACTTTTCCATTTATTGTTGTAAACACCACCTCTTGCAGCCTTCAAAACTTGGATCATTTAAGAAATATACATTTTTCAATAATCGTTTTTTTTCTAAATCTTTCATACGGTCAATTATTTCTTCTTGGAACTTGCTTCCGCCTGACATTCAAAATGCCAGGTTTATGTCGGCTTTCAAACAAGTTTTAAACAAGAACACATTAAACATAAATGTGTACATTATAGGTATCAGAGAAACAGCTATATAACAAGCACGTCTTTGTTTGCACTGTAGCACACTAAAGCAATATCTGTAACATTATAGAGTAAGCAGCTTGTGCGAAACATTAACCAAAAAGCTTTATATACATATTTCAAACACTTTGTGATAAATGTTTCCCTAGAATTATTGACAGAATAATCGGACTTGAGATTATTACAAGAGTTTCACCTTTTGTTTTCTCTCGAATGTTTCTAATTTTTCTCCAATTTTAATACAACGTCTGTGATGTGCTGTTTGACAGCTGTAAACGTTGTATAATTTTCGTGGACCTTCAAAGATACTGATTCTTATGATGAAGATAGATCGATAGATTTATTTCAGTATTGTGCAATAACATTGTAAAACATATATTTTATTATACATGATAAAACAATAACAAAGTAAAACGTTTATGCGGAATGAAACCACATCAATGACATCATACTTAGGACGTATTTCCATTATGGTCCTTAAGTGCTGATGGTTTTTTGCCTGAAATTAGAATGTCGCTGTCCAAATAATTTTTATTTAAAACAATAGTTTAGATAAAAATTTATAAAAAATAATATGTTTTACAATTGAACATAAGAACATTATACATAATACATTGAACATATGTATCAAAGATATATTTTCATATTTAAAAAATAAATTTTGATTAGCAATTTAAAGTTTCGTTACTACTAGAAGAATATGTCTTATTCCACAGGACACAACTATTAATATATACCGCAACCTATGACACTTTCACCTGACCTAGGGGATAAAAGTTTCAACTATATAATCAAAACTTTCTAATGCTTTTTAAAAGATTTCTGATGCTTTTTTAAAAGATTTTAGAAATACGAAAACGATAAACAAATAATAAAAAAATACATCACAACAAAAGTAATTCATATTCATTACTTATGTATAATGTAACGGAAAATTGTTAAGCATTTGAATCTTCTTTCGTCTATTCTTTAAAAGAATGAATACACACTAATAATTGTAATAGTTAATAAAAGTTTGTTTGAACAAAGCTACGAAAGATCATATTCACACAAAGAATTTTTTTCTTCATTAGAAATATACATATTGTATTTATATATATTCAAATAATAAAATTATCTTCCTTTCCATGGTTTCTATATCTAATCTATCTAACATCAGGTATACACATTTTGATTGTCATGCATAACTGATTCATTTCCCCCACTTGTATGAATAAATGAAAAAAAGCAAAACTAGAAAACACGAAGAGTGTAACCGAGCGTGCACACACAATTACCTCGCTATTGATGGTGTGATAAAAATAAATCAAGGATTTGTCATTTCAATACAATCCACGGTCCTAAAATTAACTCATTGTTTTTAAGATTCGACCGGTGTTAAAAAATTTTCTTTAAAATTCTTTTTATGAATATGAGTTTTTCTTTTTAAAAAACGTCTTCATACGGGGTCCCAAATTTCTTATTGCCTCTTTTTCACAAGACTCACGGAACGATTACAAAAAAAAAAATAGGAAATTTTTGGAAAAACACAACAACAACAGGCAAATAAAGCACCCTGGGAATTTGTAAATTTGACAATTTTATATAAATATCAACGATTAAACTTTATTGAAAAGAGTTAAACAAAAAGATGATACATCACCATTACCCCAAAAAGGGTCTATAAAAGAAAAAACTTTGATTGATTAATAGAAAAGTAATGTTTTTACAACACCGTGAAAATTTTGAAAAATCGTTATAAAGTTTGTTACAGGTTATTAGCCCTATACAAAACATTCCTTGGATATATAATCCAAATCCTTTAAATTTTTTTATTTTGGAAACAATCGTTTATATACGGCCATATAGCCTAATAAATGTATAAAGAATCTTAAGAACGTATTTATAATACAACAAAATTCCTTACTAAGGGAGAAAACAAGAAATTACTTCATAAAAGGACAGCAAACGTGTATATAGTATATATAACGTAGCATGACTGTGCCAAGATTATATAATGAATGTAGACATTAAAAATGTGTCATATTATATAATAGTTTAAGGAAAAATATTGTTCAGGCCAGATTCTTTTGTTTACAATATATATTTTGCTTATTTACCGTCTGCAAATGTATATAATCACTGCCAACAATGCCAGGATGATTACAATTAATACTACAACTGTAACAATCCATCCAGTTTCTGTACTATTTGCTTCATCTGTAAACGCAAATATAAACACATACATACATTAAAACACATAATACAAAAACATGGATTTGTTTTCAAAACATACGATTAACCATTGGCTATACTAAGTCTAAATAAAGTATTATTATTTTATACGTTCTATTTTACTTGAAATGTGACAGAAAGGTGTACATGTTTGCAAAACTGTTTGATTTGATTAATAAAATGATCTAAACAAACATGACTATTTCACATATTTTACAGTATTTTTTTTATATCATCAACTATTAAAAGAACACAGAAAAAAGTGAATATTTAAATCAAAGAATGATAAATAAATACTTCGTGTCTATCATCTCACACCTTCAAACATGATCATTAATTTCAAAAGACATTGCATGGAAATGATAAAATTTAGCACATTTTCTTTTGAAAAACCTACTATTCTATCATTAAAAATACATGTTTCAGAATAATAAACTATACATCAAAACAATGGCAGCACTGTATGAAAATAAGTTTCTATCATTACACAACGTTCAGTTTTGAAAATTAAGTTTTGCCGTTGTTTTGTATTAAAGAGATTTTCTATCGGATTAAAACCATCAGCTACATTAAGTACTGTTTCGGCTTCTTTTTTGAAAAATGCATGGAAGTGCTTTTCATTCAACGCATTTGTTATCGTATTTTGGTGGTTTACAAAATAAATCTACGTCACGTGATGAACGTACATATCGGCTTGCTTTTAAAACATATATAACATATATTTATGACAATTTCTATGATTATTTTCTTCTGTATAAAATCAAAAAAAGCTCACAAAATAACATTGTTCGAAAAATCTAATGTAAAATCATAGATAAATTCATTTATACCTTTGTGTTTCCTTCTTTTCTCGTCGTCATCATCTCCACTATCAGTATCTGGTTGTTTCGAGGTAGCTTGAGTCGTTTGTGTGGTTTCTACCCCCAGGTTAACATCTGTTTAATTTCAAAATCAGATTCGTTAAATGTTTTCTTCTGCCTTAAATAATTGGAAGTCTATGTTGCAGGCTTTATGGGCACAGGAATGATACAGACTTTCGTCTGAAGAAAAGGGAAATCTGCTATGCTTTATAATTTTAAAAAGATCTAAAGCATGATAAATGCTTTACGTTAAGCAAGCAGAGATTAATGTGAAATAATTTCTCATAATATTGGGAAAATATAAATAGAGATTTTTTCTTCCGTATGAACTTAATCACAATAATGGCCAAAAGGGAAAGACATTTTCAGCTATTCTGCTGAAAAATACTCTTCCTGAAATTGAAACAGAACACCAAAAGAGAGGTGGTAAAAAGATAAGAGAATGATGAGGCTAAAAAGTTTTTAAATAATATTGGCATGGATCTGCATTAAATATTTTTCAAAATACTCAGTGATATGAATTAATTATCAAGTCCATTTAAGAATTAGATATGAATAACGTTGAAACGGTTTGAAAATATATACTCGACAAAGGATCGGATTTAGACTCAAATTTCTTTTGTCAAATCTCTTACCAAAGCAGAACCTGCTGTGGCATGACGTCTCAATCTCAATGAAACAATAAACCATGTAAAATCCGCAGTTCTTCAATTTCAGATTTAAACTGTTTTTACAACAATCTTCAAACGTTCGAACACAAGCTGTTGCATCAACAACACCGTCTTCCGGACTTGGTAAACTTCCTGGAATATTTATGGTTGGAAATATTAATATTGTCGGTTTTCATAACCTTTTAAGTGATTTTGTATGAACTATTATATGATGAATACTAGTATTTTGTTCTAGAACACTTTAAAATATATTAAATAAAACTATTAATGAGTTTGCACTATCTATAATTAAATATACTGATTTCTATTCGATAATAAGCTTTTAAATATTTAAATAAAATAATGACAAACAATTAACATTGAATGAGTCTTTGCCATATAACATTTAATCAGTATATCTTTACATATAATTAAGTTTCTGAAAATTTCAAATTGTATTTCAGACATGAATAATGGAAGGTAAATAAAAAAATCAAACAAAATCAAACCATTTAGATAAATCGGGTCGTTAGTTCCACATTTTCTATGATCGACACAGTAATTTGTCATGTTATAATTGCTCCAGTACCACTTGCCATGATCAAGTGCAAAAAGATCACAGTATTTGTAGTCATCTGTCGATGCTGAGAAATCAATTGAAGGATGTCTGGTATTCAAATATGGCAGGTCCAAGTTGTTCTTAAACAAACATGGTTCTGAAAAATAAAATCGTAAACCAACGCTCACACATTATAAAAAAACTCCTGAATTTTATAAAAAAAACCCTATTTTTTTTTAAATTTTCGGGCTTTTTGAATATTTAATAAAATTTCGAGAAATTTTTAAACTTTTTTAATGAAACTCTAGTTTAAAAAAAACCCCTAAGAAAACACTTTAAACAAAAAGGGTGCTCGGTAATTATTTTTTTACATTTTTAAGTGGGGAAACTATTTTCCCATATAAAAAAAAATTGGGTTCATAATAATTTTTTGGCGTCAATTAAAAACTTTTTTTTTTCCCATAAACACAAAAAAACAAAACCGAGACCCGTTGTATCGAAAGAGTGTATTACCCCAACCCTGAAATTTGAATTTAAAATAGAAACAACAAAATAATTAATAATATATCCTCTATAAAATAGAGGATATTGAATGAGTGTAAGTTCAATACTGAATTTTTTGAACGAGTTGAGTAAAATTCTTTTATGCGAGCCTCTGGCGAGCATGATAATTATTTTATTCAACGAGTTTAATAAATTCAGTAATGAACTTACACGAATTTAATATTCTATTAAATATCACATACCAAAAAATAAAGACCATTTAAAGCGAAAAAGAGTCATGTTTTCATTGAAGGGCCTATAGTATAACGCTACCATTTAACATGGTTTTACATTATGTGTGTATAACGCAACTGGATCACGTCAAATTATATGCACGGCCGTGCAAAACCATTTTTACGGAGTCGCAAAAGCGGCACGGGTATGTGATAAAGAAATTTATTGTTTATCTTTTATGCTTTTGACCATAATTAAAAATGTGCTATTAGCATATAACCATACTAACCTTCAAGACCATGCGGAATATGACAGTCCAACAATGATACCCATTTGTTTATTTAAGTCAATAAATTTGTTTTTAATTTTGGTGTATTTTGATAATATCAGCGACTCAAATCCATTTAAATCAAAAACACATTTTTAAAAATGATTATTTTTATAAAAAAAATTTTAAACAAAACGGGAAGTTTTACCAGTTTTAAAGAAGGAAAGCAAAAAATCCCCATGTAGTTTTAAATCTTAAATAATTGTGTATCCTATAATTTTACAAAACTTATAAAACTGTTTTTTTTTAAACTTTAAAAATTTACAAAACTTAAAGTATTTCAAACTTTTAAATCAATAACGTTCGTTTTGGGGCAGTTTTTTGGATATTTCCCAAAGGGTTTGTAAAAAAGGGGCGGGTTTTGAATAATAAATACCTGTATCTTTTGAAAACCAGCCCCAAAAATTTTTGGTTTAAAACGTAAAAAATCAATGTGGTTAGAAATTATATTGCAGTCAGATGTTCTCCATCCTTGAGAATTTTCTAAAGATATCTATGTGTTTTGTAAACACACCAAAAATAAATTAAAAGAAACAAACTAACAAAATGAGTTTTAAATATTGCTTTAATTTTGTTTAACTTTCCAATATTAACCCATAACTTAATATACCATACATATTTGTAATTAAAATATCTTATGAAATAGGCAATGATGAATTTGTTAACAGCTCGTGACAACAAGAATAATACTTATAGTATAAAAAATGGAAAGGTATCATAACGCATTAGGACATCTGATAATTCCCTTAATACATTATATCTACTACCTGTATGGAAAAGTAATGAAACTAAAAAAGGCGTTACATAAATAAACTTTAAATATTTTCTGTTCAATAATTGTACATCCTAACAAACCAGAATGAATAATAAAAAGACATATGAACTTCTTTCTCTACAAAAGACTCATCATTCATTTAATCACTTACCAATGCTAGGTACTATATCGCTATAAAAAAGGGTAGTCATTATATATATGACGTATTCAATCGCCCTGAATAAATCTGTAGAATAACTTGTATTCGACCTTTATAAAGTTCAATTTTTTTCCCATAATATTTCAAAATGAAAAATGTGGGGATACGCTTCATTTTTTTTGTGTATACAGACAGTGCTTTTGTGGCATGATTAAAAAATAGAATAAACATGGTATCTAATAAGAAATATCCGCATCCGCGCATTCTGATCAGGATCCATGCTGTTCGCTATCAGTTTCTCTACTTGTTATAGAATTTGTATGCAAACAGTATGGATCCTGATCAGACTGCGCGGATGCGCAGGCTGGTCTGGATCCATGCTGGTCGCAAACCCATTATGTTGGTTTTGTCATGACGCGGCTCATTTGTATTTATCTACAGAAAACATCATAAAATCATAAAAGCCTGGATATGATGAATGCATGTAAAACGATAACTTATACAAAGACGTTTTACGCATTTGAACAGAGTAGTCATCAATGTAATTTGAGAGAAAACTGATAGTTTTCGCTTCCTGTTTGTGTAAATTAAAAATTAAAAAAGAAGAAATGTTGAAAGGATTATTTATTTTAGCTACTCTTAATCTTGGTATTGTCGATGTTTTTTCAGAAATGTAAGTATAGCTTTTAAAAAAAAAATTTAACTTAAAGACGAAACACAGAATTGATGATTTTAATTATCATTTAATTTAACATTAAAAAACATGTATATATACAGAACCTGAACTGTTGAAATATTTGTTAACTCTTGGTATCTTGTAATTAATCAATAAGTTTTTCGTCCATAGATGAGTAGTAAAGGTTTCTTTGAATCTATCAATATTTCTATTTATGCCTGTAATCAAATATGGAAGGACAACTGATATCTTTCTTAATTACCAACACTGCATAGATGCCGCATTACATTTTTACACATCTGCCCATTGAACACTTAGTTTAATCAATTTGATTACATGTCATATTTATTCTATGAATATCTGGAAGTAATTCTATGAACGCCGAGGTTTAATTTGAACAAACTAATAAAATGGGTTTTAAGTATTTCTTTAATGTTTCGTATAACTTGTCTATAATAACTCCCGAATATACCATATACATTTGTTATTAAAATATCTAATGAAGAAGGCAATGATGAATTTGTTACCAGCTCTTGACATTAAGATTAATATTTGTAGGATGAAAAATTGAAAAAAATATTTTAATGCGTTGTGACATGTGATAATTTCCTTAATACATTACTATTTCAAAGTCGTGTAAGGTATTAATGAAATTAAAAAAATGACTTTAAAGTTTACTTTTTTTTTTCAAAGATTTTTTTTTTCAAATTTAGTTTCACAAAGCATTCTTATGATATCATTCTTTACAGATTTCATTATCCAATCATGACTTCTTTACATCACGTGACCTTACAGACATATATTCCCCGTTTTGTAAACAAGTATGACAACTTATTCTTCGGTTGAGCGGTCGTGCGCAAACATAACCGAATAGAAAGACTCAAAATAGGAAAAAGTAATAAAACTATAAAAGGCGCTCTAAATATACTTTATTCAATAATTGTACGCCCTAACAAACCATTATGATAAACATTTACTTCTAGGCACGGATTCGTATGGTGGCTGATATGGGCCATGTCGTTTTTCGCTTCTTCGCCTCAAAATGCGAAAATGCGAAAACACGAAGGGACGACAAAGTTGGACTTTGTTGTCTTTTCGTGTTTTCGTTTTTTCGGATTTGCGATGCATCAAAGCGAAAATACGACAGAAAGAGAGCGAAAATACGACACATAAAATCTGTCGTATATTCACATTCCATCTGTCGTCTCTTCGCATTTTCGCTTTTTCGCATTGTAACATTTTCGCATTGTTGCATTTTTGCTTTTTTCGCATTGTTACATTTTCGCGTTCCGGTTGCACATGCGCATGGAGACATCAATTAATTATTATCATTTTTAAGTTTTGTAATGTCTAAAAACAGTGATATATATATCTTTTAATAAATAGTCATATATAAGATATGTTGTATTCACGTAGATGTATAATTTAAAAGTATCACCCCGCTCCTTACTCATGTAAAATAATTAAATAATATAGCGGTAAGGCTTTCAGACTGTTTTGAATCAATTAATGCAACACTTATTATAACAAATAAATAGATACATTAATATCCTCCTACCATGTATAGGTTAGAGTGCATATTGGGTGTTCTTCGTAAATAAGAAAGCTAAAAAGGAGCGGAGCTTGCGAAGCGACTGTAGCTTTCTTATTTACGAAGAACATCCAATATGCACTCTAACCGGCTTAGTGCTCCGCCCACTTGCGTTTTATAATATAAAACGTCCAGTTTATATAAAATCTGTTCTATTAAGATTTGAAACCTGAAAATTTGAAAAATCCTCGTCGGTGATTGGCTTCAAAAAAACTGGCGAACACTAAAGTCACTCCCCGCACACATCTGAAAATAGATATTTACTCTGAGATTGAGTTGTATTTTCACTTGACAACATTTTATAATGTTTGTTAATTCTAGTACAGGACTTTTGTAAGACATAATCATACTTCATTTGATTATGTACAGTGCATGTTGGATTAAGTTCGATTAAAAAGTTTGATGGTTTAATTTAATGATAAAAACACACATATGAAAACATTTGGTTGTCATTAAGCCTTCTTCAGTGGCTTTATTGCATTTTGAATTAAAAAAAATATTTCATTGATTATTACATTATGCCATGTTGGCAGGCGTTCCCAAGGTCTTTAAAACAAAGTTCTCGTGATGGTCATTCTTTCTGTCATCTTCCTCATATTGCACGACTATCAATAAATGGAGAACGATTAAAATTCATAAGTATATTGTATTAAGATCATATTGTATTATACTGTGCTTCTCTTAGTTCACGGTACTTAATGCTTTCAAACAAGAAGGGAAACAATAAACTAATGGTACAAAAATGTCATTAGCTGTACCATTTAGGTATTTTCAGATTGATGTCTCCGTGCGCATGTACAACCGAAACGCGAAAATGTAACAATGCGAATAGGCGAAAATGCAACAATGCGAAAATGTAACAATGCGAAAAGCGAAAATGCGAAGAGACGACAGAGTTATGCTTTGTCGTCTCTTTGCGCATTTTCAGACGAAGAAGCGAAAATACGACATGGCGTAAATCAGTCATCATAGATTCGAGAGTATGTCAAGCTTTGAGCGTCCTTCTCAATCCAACTAAAACAAATTCAATATAAACAAAATCTACGAACGCCAGTATCGTGTATAGAATAAAAAGTTATGTAATGATGTTCTTTACAATACCGGTAAAACGTCTGAAATGGTACCCGGCTAAAGATAAGAATAGTGTTATTAAGCTGTCTTGTAGCTCGACAAATCCAGCTTATATGTGTTGCTTTAGATAACTGGCAAAAAAAAACAACAAATCTCACTAACTTTAAATCATTTAATTTCGCTGGCATGAAATATCTGATATTTACCCTCTTGAACACTTGGTACCCCCCCCCCCCCACCAAACCCAAAATAAACGCTGTAAATTTATAGGTCATTCGTAGTTACGTGTTTTTGTTCACATATAAATTAACATAACAAAATATGTCGGGAGTACCGCAGATTATTATAGTATTTAATAGTACTGACGAATCGTAAATCAGTGGTTGTATTGAGATATCGTGCTTTAACGATAAATACTAATTTACTAATTGCTATAAATGTATAATCGTATAAATTATATCATTTGCAAAAAAAACATGACAGTTTCACAGCTTAATAGATAACAGACAGCGTGTCGTATATGATTAATTTGGTGAATTATTATGTTCAATAAATTGAAAAAGTACCAGTTTTTTTATTATTTTCAAGCTCTTTCCTATTCTTTTATTTTTTTTTAGTTGTTAATTCTTTTTTATATTTTTAAAGCTTAGCATATCTTTTATTTAGTAAAAAAGTGTTCACCAATATCTTGTTAAAACCATGATAGCGTTACGGTATTTTCATGAAGGATGCATATAAATGTTATATATGTTCTATGCATATATCTCAGACAACATATTATTCGGACAACTGTAACGTTCTTTTTCTTTCTTTCTTCTTTTTCTTTTTCTTCTTCTTTTGGATATCTATTAGCACGTAATACGCGACAATTCGTCCTAAGCGAACAAAAGTGATTTCACATTATGTAAAGAAAATTATTCCTGTATTTTCAAAAAGCCTCCCGGACAAACGTCCTCCAGTCCAAAAATGACTGGGCGGACAAAAGCCGTCCAATGAAAATGACGGAATGGATTTTGTCCGGGGGGGGGTCTTTTGTCCGTATCCAGTCTTTTACATCAACTCATTAAGCAAAACATATATTTAAATTAAAGAACAGCTTTGTTATATTATAGGTCACAGCTGTGCAAATAGTAAACTTCTACCAGAGCTTCCCAAAAGATCGAGGACATACACGGCAGATGGTGAAAGGGGTAGTGACCCCTATGTTGATGACACATTTTTGTCTCCAGAATGGTACAATGTATCATTTAATGGTCAGCAATATCTAATGCCCGATGCAAACTATATGCCTTTATTTAAACAGTGTGGAACTGTGCAGCCAATTTATCTTAAAGGTAATATTTAACAAAATTATTTTCTTAATAAAACATTAATTGACCGAAAAGCAGATTTTCGTTTTTGTACACAGTTCATAAGATCGCCCGACCGATTTTTATGGAGGCTATTCGTTGCCAAAAATCCAGCCTTTGAAACTTGACAATGCATACTTCGGTTCAACTAAAAAGATTAGTAAAAATCTAATTGTCGATACGATAATAACATACTGCACTGATATAAGCGTTTTGATTATCTCGATTTGCTAAAGTGAAAGCTGTTAACATGCAACTTAAATAAATTGCAAAAATGTATAACTTCAAATTTGCGAAATGTAGAAATGTAAACGACACGTTTAATGATGTGCATCATGACGTTGAGAATGTAACTGCATCAGTTAATACTCTCAGGTTGACAACACCACACTTTCACACGATTAACATTTGTAAACGATTTTGCAACTTCCATATATGGCATTATCACGGAAATAGACGAAAATTAATAGGCGGAGCCAATTTGCACGAAAGCAGAATATAAAGAGAGGTAACTCTTGCTGGTACAAAATATTTCAAATTATATAAAACTGTTAAAAATGTCACATATATCAACTGCATTACAGTTGACTTTGAATATCCTCTGATTTTGTTAAAACGTATTCTAGCATAGGTTATTCAAGTAAATTTAATGCAAAATTGGTTAAGATATAATGTAACAATGTAACAACGTTTATACTGATAATGAGCATAATTATATGCAAAAAATAAAGTTGGTGAATTACCATAAGGAAAATGTTTCCCATGTATAAGGACACAGACCATTTTTAGTTGGGACGTAGTCCCAACTAGTGCACTTACAAACCCGAAATTTCCAACCATACAGGGTAACTCCCACTGCTGTGACGTTTCATCGCCACTCTAAATGCTATATTGTATTCTAACATATCAACGTAAGCTGAATTCATAGTGATCACCCGACCATGACCGACACATAACCGCCGCGAGTGAAAAATAGTGCTCTGAATTTCTGAAAACTTCGATTTATTGCGAACAGAAGTGGAGACAAGAAATTTATTTTTTGAAAATAATGTGCAATTGAACTTGAATTACGGTATTAGAAACGTAGCGGATATAATTTGAAAGGTCACATAATTCTATGAATGGGATAGTAAATTAATTGGGTCATACTCATAGTGCTTGACGGCTTGCAATATTTAACTTACTCATCCGCCTTAACATCACATTTTTTGTATTATATTCCAGAATTTTTGAAAAAGACATTATTTATCGGATAAATGTTGTAGTTTATAATTGCAAAGTGGATATTGAAATAGAATTAGCCAGAGATGTAGATAATCTATTCGTCTCTGAATTAGCCGATAATTAGATTAAATGAATCCGACAACATCCGGTATATTTTTCGACCTACTTCACGAGCATAATTATCAGCCTGTTAAGCTCATAAGGTATGTTATAAAGCAAAATATGTTATGAATTTGATGACTAATAATATTAAGTTTATTAATTGATGCCAATTTGTTTCCGAAAACTAAAACTTTCGTAAATAATTTCGAAGTAATTTGGAGATCTCGAGTCTTTCGTACCCAAGACATTTCGATCATACTTAGACTGCAAAACCGACAGATTTTACAAATTGATATTACACAGGTGTCTGCCTTTACAGGAAAACCGGCATATACGCCTACAATTTTTTGGTCTTGTCACGGCCGTTACGTCTCTACCAAATGGGGCACATTCTTTAATATTTCACAATTTTTTAGCAGGTTAGTGATGTATATTTTCTACTTGTTGACATTTTATTGTTTGTTACGCTGGAGAATGCTTAGCGTCGCGAATTTACGGTAGTCGAGGATATATAATAATTTATAAAGGTCAAAATAAAATTATTCTGAAATATTAAAGAATGTGCCCCATTTGGCACAACCACTTTTCAATCATCCCTAGAAAATTTTTGTTTTTGACCTTATTTGTCATTTTACTAAACTGTAAGCACATCTTGTATTCACCTTGACTAAATTTATCAGCAGCAATGTCAATTATGGCGATAAAAAAAGAAAATGCTAGCATTTTAGTTCAAAATATGTAAAATGTGAAGTTGAGTTTGTCAAAATTTCTTCAAAATACAGAACTAATTATATTTTAACATTGTATGACAATTTTTATGTGGTACAGTTTATATTTTGTTAACTGATTGAAAAGTGGTTGTGAAATTTTGAAGAACAGGAAAATGGGTCAGTAATGATTTGTCCTCGATTCATAGTAATAATTCAAGTAAAATTTTTAAAAAGTTGGTGCATTAATTAGCTGAAAAGATAATATTCGCAGAATTGAAAGAGAATTTTTTTATATATAATTTCACTGTCTGTTATTGTTGAAAAATCTGTTAGCTGATCGGAAAGAGGCAGTACGGGGATACATTTATCTGGAAAAAATATTTCAGTCCCATCATGACAAAATACCTCAATGGAACCCCTTTAAATTGAATTACACTTTTTTTAAATGTATGGGTAAATTCCATTTTCAGTGGTTGAAATTTTTCCTCTTTTCTGATTAATCAAGCTATAGTTTCCCATTTATAAAGCCACAGGTTGTTTTGAAAGTTGAAAAAAAATCACTGCCACCTTGATTACTGGTTGGGGACCACCAAAACCGGACAACCACCAAACCCGGACGGCCCTGAAAATGCTTAATTTAGTATTTTCTTTGTTCAGTGGTTGTCAGTCACTTTTTCATTAACAATAAATGCACATTTCTTCTAAAATTAAGTAAATAAATTTATTTCAACCTCCGTAAATGGTAATATTTTAATGTCTATTTCTACAATGTTGACGTTGAAATTTGGGGGGTCAAGAAAGCATTACCTGACCTCATATACCAGCTATTATCATTTGCAGAGTAAACAATAGAAAATCCAAAACTTCAGCATTTGTTGCTGAAATATTGTACATCATGTTAAAAATCTAAAATCAAAACACCCAAGCTTTTATCTGAATTAAATCGTGTGATGTACATATTTGTACGGACACATGGTACTGTAGTGTAGACAATTTAGGTAATTTTGATACCCTCCTTGTCAAGCCTCAGATATAAGTGTCAATACAATCAGAAATAAACAAACTAGTTTGTTAGTAAGGAGAAGAATCTAGCTGAACTGTGTCAAATTTTAAGGTCTCTAGGTTAAAAATTATTAAATCAGTACGGAAAAATGTTCAAAAAGTGTCCGGTTGATGGTCCTCGACCAGTAGAGCTGTCATCGATATCGACAATATCGATGTATCGTTGATATTTTTTTGTCGATCAATAATCGATACACATTTTAAAAAATCGATACTTTTGACTTATAAATTAAATGTCTAGAAATTATACAATTCACCCAAAATATATGCAGAAACAGTTATTTATATCTAATGTTATGCTTTTGTTATATAGTGATTTATATCTAATGTTATGCTTTTGTTATATAGTGGAATTATTTCATAGCAATGGTGACAAATAATATTGTCTGGAAAAAATCATGCAGTGGACAAGACACTGTACAGAACATGTTTTTGACTGAAATCATTGAAACAGGTATGAAAGTGAATGACAGACAAGTGAGTTTAGGATATTATCGATATATCGGTGTATCGTTGATTTTAGTCACTTGATATCGATATATCGTTGATATGCTTTGCACAGAATCAATGACAGCTCTAACCTTGATAATTGTTAACCTGAAAAATCTTCAGGCACTTAAAGGGATTTGAACCCCAGACCTCTTGATTACAAGGCAGACACACAACCATGTCGCGAAAATGTCAACACAACAGCAAGACTGTTGGAAATGATCTATACCTGTTCTCAATACATGGTTGAAGTAATTTATCAGTGTTAATTAGACATTTTATATGATTTAACAATTTTTGACACTTACTGATATTCACATTTTTTTCACAAATCTACATGTAAAAAATAGATATCATAATAAAATGATAGAACATTTTCTATTTTAGTGGTAATACTGTGGAGTAATATGAAGAAATATTATTAATATTTTATTATCATATTTTTTCAAATTTTAATTATGTCATTACATGCTGTACACAATCATATTATAGTGTAAACATATATATACATTGTATAGACACATATATACATTGTATATACCAGAGACGTTAAAATACATAAAATGTATTTATATGTCTCTGTATATACACACACTAAGAGAGTAGTATTGGATGATTTTGAAAATGAAATCTCTAAATTGATATTTTCAGGGAAATAAAAGATTATTTACTTTAATATTCACTTGGAAAGGCTGGTACATGTAGCTAGAAAAAAGTACAGTATAAGATTAAAGAAAGACTAGAAGATTATTACAAACAACAGGTACTTATATAATATTTAATGTATATTTCACAAACCAAACTGTTTTCCAAAAAAAAATTAATGAAAACATGCATTTTTACCAGTGTCACCATGGGTCAGATTAACAGACCCATTCCCAGTGGCAAATACTGCCAAATATGCTTTTTTTCTTTTCCAAGTTTAGAAAAAAATCATAAGTCAAAATTCCCGTTATCAAAGCTGACAATTTTTCTTCATTCCATTTCAATCCAATATGGTACCAGACAGATGATGTTCAAAAACACATTCCATTGTCAATTTTTTATGTATTTTTTATGCTTTGAATGATACACAATTTGTTGGATTAACAACTTTGTACATGGTACTAAATATTTTTCCCAATCAAGATGCAAAATTTCTTAACCCATTACTTCATGAGCATTTTGTGAAAAATTGCTGTTTTCATTGAAAAGTCTCCCGTTACAAGTTCAAATTGCTATAATACTATAAAAACAGCTTCAACACTAATCAAACTTGGCACAAATGTTGACTGGACCATTGCCCTTGCAACAACATGCTCAGGCTTAAATTTTCTGTTACCATGGCAACGAGGGGACATCTCAAAATTGCCCAAAATCACTATTTTGCCTCGATTTTTTCAATCAAAATTGATTTCAAAGTGATGCCACTTCTCAATGGATTGAGATATAGTCAAATGCTTTTCAGCGTTGGTTACACGTTACCTTATGATCAATCTGGGGTCATTTACAGCCTCTCACAAGTCCAAAATTTTCTTGGCATAATGCTTAGAATGGTTTCACACAGGTCAGTAAGACCGGTGTACACAAATTACTGTCTGCACATATGTGTCAGAAAAAAATTCACAAAAAAGGAATTTAGTATTACTATGAGTATTTATTAAAGAAATTGTATTTCAAATATATTTAAATAGTATTATTGAAAGTCATTTTCTATGACAGACACACAAATCTAGTGCTCTGCATTATAAATGTAAGAAGAGACAAATAAGATAAGCATTTTTTTGCAAATTATTGCACTTCATATAATTTTTATTGCTTTTTTTTAAGGTGGACATGTGTCACTGTCAAGCGAATGAATATAAGCATCACACTTGGTGGGAATCTCCAGTTTCCAGATGTAGTGATCATAACTGTATAGGCACCATTAACACTTTGGACTAGTTGGAGTATTTTAGAGGGCTAGTCTGAATTGAATCCCCTGTCAATAGTAAAGGCCAGTCATGAACATTGTGTTGAAGGAAAATGTTAAAACTCGGATTTTCCGCTTAACCAATCATTACTTTACCTTATATTCAGTGCGGTAATGTAGGAAATGGTTACTTTCTGGAACGGAGCTGTCAATTATTTTTAATTTTTTAGCTTGTTAGTGTTATCGTCGGACAGTTGTGAAGTAAAGACATCGCAGTTTGACTGTAAACTATACAAGTTGCCTTAAAGAAAGTATGTCGAAATCTTAACAGTTATTGGTTGATTTTGTAGAAATTGACCAGAATTCACCTTTGTTTACACGCATCGCTTGGACGTCGAAAACGACATGCAATGACATTTCAGTGAAATTTGGAAACTTGCTCGTATTTTGGAGCATTTTGTAGGATTTCGATGAAGTAAAAAGTGTTTATGATAGGATACATTATTCCTAGAGACAACCACAAAGATAAAATAGTGATCTGGTGTATTTTTACCGAACAGTTCTTGTTTGTTTTGCATGATATTTTTCTCTCGTTAGGGACCTTTATTCTTTATATATAGTATTATGAGCGTATATGGGTAAATGTGGTATATAGTGCCTGTGGTTTTAACATGTATCTTAGCTTGCCTGGTGTAATGATAAGTAATAAACCTGAGAATTGAAACTATGAGAATAAATTGTTGTTATAAGTCCCCTTCTATTTTCATTAAGAGGGGACTAAAGGCTGACCCATTTCTGTATGTCAATGAAAGCTGAATTTTGCTATAACTTAAATGGTACAAAAGTAAGGTTCATCATACTGGTATCTGATATAGAACTATACAGAGATTAAGCATGTTATTATAATTTATGCTCCTGAAAGGGAGAGAATATAGTTGCGGTCTTAACCATCTGTCGGTATGGACTCAAGTAATATTCTGGATAAATATCTGTGTTCATTCCATACAGACTTGTACTTTTGGGGAAAAAGGTTCCTCATGGGAGGAAAATATGTTTTAATGGTGTTTTTGAGATTTTAGTTGATAAAGGAAAAAAAACATAGTCTGTACTTAGGAAGACATTTGTCCTTCACACTCTTGTCCGAAATATGAATATAACTAGATATGTATTGAAGGGATTTTATGTAAACTTCACAAAGTGATAGAGACTTTTAAGAGGAAGTGCAATGTTCAAGAAACATAACTCTACCTTGCTTCATGTTTTAATTATATCCCTTAAGTTAAAAATGCTTATTCCACTATCAATGAATCTACATCAACTTGAACGACTCGAATTTTCCAATGTGTCAAAGAACCATAACTCCATTCCTTAGTTTTTAGCTCACCTGTCACAAAGTGACAGGTCAAGCTTTTGTGATCCCTTTTCGTCCGGCCGTAAACTTTTACTTTAAATGACATCTCCTCATAAACCACTACGCTAATTTCATCCAAACTTCACAAGAATGTTCCTTTGGCTGTCACCTTTAAAAATTGTGCAAAGAATTTAATTCCATGCTGAACTCTGGTTGCCATGGGAACCGAAAGAAAAAAACTTTAAATATCATCTTTAAAAAAACCCTAAGAGCTAGAGCTTAGATATTTGGCTCGAAACATCCTTTAGTGAGTGTCTACCAAGTTTTTTAATTAAAAGCCCTGGGGTCAAAATTGGCCCCGCCCCAGGGGTCATTGATTTTCCCTATGTGCATATAGTAAAAACTTTATAAAATCTTCTTTTAAAGAACCCATAGAGCTAGAGCTAAGATATTAAGCATGATACATCATCTAATGAGTGTTTACCAAGTTTGTTCAAATAAAAGGCCCGGGGTCAAAATTGGTCCTGCCCCAGGGGGTCATTAATTTTCTTTAAATGCATATAGTAAAAACTTTTAAAAAATCTTCTTTTAAGGAACTAAAAGAGCTAGAGCTAAGATATTTAGCATGAAATATCTTCTAGTGAGTGTTTACAAAGATTGTTAAAATAAAAGCCCTGGGGTCAAAATTGGTCCTGCCCCAGGGGGTCATTAATTTTCTTTAAATGCAAATAGTAAAAACTTAAAAATCTTCTTTTAAAGAACCCAAAGAGCTAGAGCTAAGATATTTAGCATGAACATCTTCTAATGAGTGTCTACCAAGTTTGTTCAAATAAAAGCCCTGGAGTCAAAATTGGCCCTGCCCCAGGGGATCATTGATTTTCCCTATATGCATATAGTTAAAACTTCAAAAATCTTTTTTAAAGAACCCAAATAGCTAGAGTTTATATTATAAGTGGAAACATCTTCTAGTGAGTGTCTACAAAGTTTGTTCAAATAAAAGCCCTGTGCCAAGTTTGATTAGTGTTGAAGCTGTTTTTATAGTATAAATGTACTTAATTATGCTTGTCCAGAGGAATACTGGAAAAGAGTTGATGAAATTTGATTAAACTTTTACACAGCGAAAATAATCAAGTGAAAGAAAGTGTTTTTTTTTCAAAAGAACCCTAATTTTTGTGTCGCCTTGAAAAGGTGACATAATAGGGGTTACTTTTGTCGGCGGCGTCTGTGTCGTTGTCGGCGTCCCCTAAAGCTTGTCCGGAGCATAACTCAGTCACTATAAGTCTGATTGACTTCAAACTTGGTATGCATGCTTCTTTTAATAACCCGAAGTGCAGTGCACAAGGACCGGTACTCTGCAGTTCTTATTTTTTGAGTTATTGCCCTTTGTTAATTTTCATACTTTAATTTTGTCCGGGCCATTTCTCTTCAACTAAAAAAGCTATGGACTTGATACTTCATAGGATGATAGATCTCATTAAGAAGAAGTGCAGTGCACAAGAACCAGTACTCTGTACTTCCTAATTTTTGAGTTATTGCCCTTTTTTAATTTTCATATTTTATTTTTGTCCGGGCCATTTCTCCTAATGAATAAAAGCCATGGACTTGAAACTTCATAGGATGATAGGTCTCGTTAAGAAGAAGTGCAGTGCACAAGAACTGTTACTCTGCATTTCTAATTTTTTGAGTTATTGCCCTTTGTTTATTTTCATACTTTAATTTTGTCCGGGCCATTTCTCCTTAAGTATAAAAGCTATGGACTCGAAACTTCATAGGATGATAGATCTCATTAAGAAGTGCAATGCACAAGAACTGGTACTCTGCATTTCTTATTTTTTGAGTTATTGCCCTTTGTTGATTTTCTTTCTTTTTTTTTGTCCTGGTCATTTCTCCTCAAGTATGAAAGCTATGGACTTGAACCATCATAGTATGATAGATCTTATTGATAAGAAATGCAGTGTTCAGAAACTGCTGCTCTGAACTTATTATTTTTTTAGTTACTGCCCTTTGTTATTTTTCATATTTCATTTTTGTCCTGGCCATTTCTCCTAAACTACATTGTTCACAAGGTGACACATCCGACTCGCGGAGTTCTAGTTTCTAGCTTAATTTTACAATTATCATCTCTTAAAATACATGTTCAACAACTTTTAAAATAATGGTTGTCTGGAGTAAATCTTTTCAATGATATCACACTCAAACTAAATACAGTTGTAGAGACTAGTGAGGAGAAGTCTTGTGTCAAATAACCAAAATTCTACATTACTTAGTTTTTGAATTATCTCCGTATATATTTCATGATACTGTTCTGAGAGAGGATTAAAATATTGAAGGAATTTGATTGAAACTTTATAAAAGTTATACAGTGAAAGAGATTAGCATGAGAATTGCATTAAACAAAGGCCATTATAAGTTCTAATGACATGGTCACATTCATATAATGTGATGCAAAAAATATTGACCATTTGAGTGTTTACTTGATACCGATTCAGAAAATTTGATATATATCAAAATTGATTATTTTTTCATAGCTTTGTCTCCCTTTATAATGTCATGTGTTAAAATAGTCAAGCTTGCTGTTTCCTCTGGTAGCTCTAATTTCACTTGTTGCTCTTGTCAAAAAAGGCCAATAACGGTTTATGATCGACCTACACGTACATGTAACCTAAATACTATATTTGAACATGTGTGTCATAGAATAATTGTATCAACTACTGTTCATTTACTGAATTTTGCACTTTATATTTATCAACCGGCAACATCCTTCACTCATTGAATTATCTGCCCCGAAATAGAAAAAATAGTTACTTGATCCTTCATACGTCCCAACTGCAGTGCCTTCAGCACTTTGATTAACTGCTGAGCTGTGCTAGCTTTTCATTGCCTTCAAACGTTGCAGCGGTATAAATTGTCGAAATATTTTTACGCATCTCTTTTACATTCAGCAAACAGTACTAGAATGCATACATGGAAGTCACTTTTTGCAACACGAAAAAAAAAGAGAACTGAACAGTAAGCCTGTGCCTTATTTTTATAAATGACTATATTGAGTTGTAGAAAACCCAAAATGTTTGTGTATAACCACGGAACTATTCATGGTTTACTATCGATAATTCCGTTGTATAACCAAAAACTTGTGAATTTGTCCCATTTTAATGTTGAAATATATATTCAGTGTATCCTAGCATCTCTGTTTGCCTCCAACATAAGGTATTTCGAATCATAGGATGTGATTTAGCCTATTATTATTAAATATTACTGTTACCTAGACTTGCTGTCTTTCTGAACTATTTTTATGTACATGGAATACTACGCAGAATATTTATTAAGTTTTGTAAGTAATGGCTTTCTTGGAGATTAAATAAACAAGGAACACATAAATTGATAATCAGCATACATACCTTTGGACTCATTAAAATATTATAATTGACAATAAAAATGGTAAAAATGGGAAACTATATCTATACATTATGGTAAAAATAAAAAGTTATGTACGAAAGGGTACATGCAATAGTTTTAATTTCACTATTGTTAAAAGTTTTTTTCTTGCCAAGTCATACGCTAGAATTAAGGTTACTAATGTAATAGTAAATGCTTCTACTAGGAAAGACAACAGCCAGAATTTGGTATGTATTTGTATTCAGTCGTATCAAAATCTCTATCAGATGTTGACTTGAAAATTTGAAAGTGGTAAAGTAATAGCGAAACTCTCCTATGCTAATTGGAAACCCCCGAGTAAATTTTATTTGTCGTTGAATATAGTCTTATCAATAATTTTTACTTCCTTGAAATATTTAACCTCAGACAGTAAGTAACCTGGTGAGTGTTTTTTTTTTAAGTTGATTGAATAAAGGCATATCATGGCAATCATGCAAGTGAATTATGTTTGGGGTAAACGGAAACTGCGCGTTTCTTTCTTGATGTAGTGGGCGGGAAAATGGGCGGAACTTATTTTATCTCCTATTGGAAAACGTGTACAGCTGATTTATGCTAATCCGAATCATGATGGTCTGACAATGTAAAGCTAAGAAACGCTACTATCAGAAAAACAGTTAATGTTTTGATGTTTAACAAAATGTATTTTTGTAATACATGTTTACAATGTTAAATCGGCAAACTCAATCCAAGAATGCAACATTGGAGTTTACATACAAAGAAATACATTTGTATTTTGTCCGTTAACAAACTGTTCAACTCAGATGAACGAGGCTGGATTTTTGGCAACGAAAAGCCTCCATAGATTTTATCCGATATCCTTACGATTTCTATTAAATATGATAAAAGAAATAAAATGTTAACTTTTTTATTTACTAGGTTGACGCTAACATTATCATTTCGTCGTTTTCAATTTAGTTCATTTTGTTACATTGAATACAGGGTAGATAAGGATGATGCGCTTTACTTTATGCTAACAATATTATAATGGGTTTGATCAGTGGAATAGAATCCGTATCACTCACTGCATATTACTTTAAATAGTGGGCTAAAGATGTGCGTAAAGTTTTGTAACGTTTTGTTTTGTTTATTATCATTCTCATTAAAAATATTCCCCGCGTTCTAATAAACAGCCGAAACAATATAATGTGTTTGTTTGTTTGTTTGAACATTTTTTTTTTGTTAATTAGCGTGAAATATGAGAAACACGAGAAAAAGTAAAACAAGAAAAAACGTAAATATGGAACATATTATATAATATATTCCACCAATATCAACAATATTCAGAATAACAATCTCCTACATATTTCTATATTTTCATTAGAAAAGAAATCTTAAGCAATCCTTAAAGATATATTTCATGTTTATAAATACTCTCCCAATCACAATGTTTCTTCAGAATGCATACATACCATATCTGTACCATACATCAAGAAAAGCAAATTTGTGCTATAAAATAAACAAAGAAAAAAGTATAACTTTAATGTCTGTTTTTCTTCACTAAAGATACACATCCAGACATAGATACATTAACCGAAGTACCACAAGCAATAATAGCATGTGAATTGTACCCTCATAATGACTGTGAAAACACAATTGAAATCTTTATAAGAAAATGTGGCAATACAGTTCAGTACTACTTGAGGAGAACAAGCACTAATGCGGCATACTGTTTTGGTAAGAATCGTTCGTCATGACAGATCAAACATGCGTTTGCGACCATCCGCATCCGCGCAGTCTGATCAGGATCCATGCTGTTCGCTATCAGTTTCTCAACTTGTAAAATGGTAGGTTAGCGAACAGCAAGCATGGATCCTGATCAGACTTTGCGGATGCGCAGGCTGGTCTTGATCCATGCTGGTCGCAAACGCACTATGTTGGTTTGTCATGACTTGGCTCATTTTATATTCACATAATGTATACATTTGTAATGAGTCGCCTTTCTTAAATGAAGTATCTCCATACTTAAATGTTCAAGTAAAATGATTTCAATTGCTGTAACGTTTTAATGTTTGAAAAATTTTAATGTATACTAAGGATGCTTTCCACAGAGCAATTTTTACTTCCCCTGGTTGGGAGTCATTCCTAATACATCACATGCTTAAGATAACATAAAAATCTCTCATAATTCTATCATCTTCATGAAAACTGATCAAAATCTTTTTACATATAGGTGCTTTATTGATATATTTCTTCATAATGTATAATATATTTCTTCATAATGTATAAAAGAATTTGATAATTCATACAAATCAGCTGTTTTTATCGATTTTTTTTCATATTTTATCAAATGTTTTGTATAGAATATTGGCCCTTAAAGTGGCTGCCATTTTTGGCAAGGGAAGTAAATATTGTATAAGAAGATACTATATATTGTTAGGGATCTATTTTACAATATGCTGAAACATTGAGTTTATATGCATTTTTCAGATCCTCCGAATTTGCAAAATGTGAATTTGACAGGTATGATACTTTCATAGTATTACAAATATTCTTGAAGAACATCAATCTACTTCTTAAAACTGATTGAATAGATAAAAAATGAAAACATTTGACGTCTTATATATATTTGCAAATGATGAATTTTGAAATGTTTTGCCCTGGTGGTTGATTTGAATAAGTAAAATCTTGACAATCAATGGATCAATGCAAAAATATCGTTTATTAGTCTGTATTGAAAATGAATAAAACAAATAATTTGAATTTTAAATATATAAGCGATATTTGAAAAAAAATTAAAGATATACTGCAATAGACTTTGCACCTTTTGGATATATTATCACCGCTAGCTTGAATCAACGAAAAGTTTTCTTAAATGAAAAACATTACAAATGAAAATTATGAGTCTTATTTCATTAATTGCATGCTAGGTGTTTGTTACCTGAAGAAAATAGCGCGAAATGTCAAATTATCTGTCATGAGCAAAATGTAAAACAAATAAGTATCCAAAATAATATATCACTGTAACTGTATTTATTGAGAACAAAGCAACATAAGAAAAAGATGGTTTAGGTAAATGACCAATGAGTAACTATTTGGAAACTATAAAAGTACATAGAAATAGAAAGCTGTTGAGAAGTAAAAATATAAGCCTTTCAGGGGCTTATAATTTGCCTTACAGTTAGTTTTAAGCATGAGTTTTTCAGAGTCTTCTACAGCACCAACTGAATCTATTGGAAAGTTAACCGTAATGCCGGAACTTCGATTCAATGAAGTGACTAACAGAGGTGTTGTTTCGTTGATCCCAAGTCTTGCGTTCTTATGTGCAGAAAGTGGAGGTGCTAACATTGAGAACAGAGATTTGTTGTATTACACATACTGGTATTTTGTTTCATACCTTAAAACCTCTACAATTAAAGATTGAGCCATTCAATTAATACACCCTTTCCAATATTTATAATAAGAAAGTACGAGCATGTTATTACGCTCTGAAACACATTTTTTATTCTTCTGGCATTGTTAATGTTGACTTATTGTTATTGATTTGATATTCGCCACATTTCCTTTTTTCCAATATTCAATTGTTGCCTAGTTCAATTTTAATTTTTTTCAGGTTCATTGATGGCGTGATTTCTTATACACAACAAAGCTATGATGGGATTGGAATACTGACTGAAGACAATCTACGGTCAATTGGATATAGTCTCGGCATAATGGTAATCCAGTAAAATATATGCGTTTAATAAAATTAATATATTAAATCGTTTCAGTTTATTTCAGATAAAACAATAAAGATCTAAAACATTCAGCAATATAATAAAGAAAGCTTTTCAATTTGTTTTTATATAATTATATTTCAATGTCACATGTAGTTTCAACTCTTTTGCTTATTAAGATATAAAATGAATCTGATTATGTTAAAAAAAATTCTGTAACAGATTCGATGTGGTGTAAAACTGGCAAAACACGAAACTGGCATACAAACCAAGCTATACAGCAGTGAAAATTTCTTTGCTGGAATTAAGGTAAAATATTGTTATAATTATATCATTTTTATGATATTATACGGTATGAAATGGTAAATATAATGTATATGATATATCAACACATATGTAGCAAAATATGTGCTAACAATGTCATGTATGTATTATATGTACCGCTGTCATGTTCAAATTAGTATATATGACATATGCGTATTAATCGTACAAAAAGTTTTGTAATATCGAAAGGTTGGTCTTAATTAATTCACGAGTTAATGACATAAATGAATCTGCATTGTAGGTTAACGAAGCATCGATAACCATGTCTAAAAACGAAATAAAGACAATTATGCTTCAACCGACTGTTCCATATGGATGCTACAAAATCAAAGACCAGCCCTCGCCAACTACCAAATGTGCTACGAAAGTACACATGTTTTTACCCGAAATAGATACTAGGTGTTCGCTCTCTGATACCAATTTAGGAACACAAAACATCATGACAGCTAACCAAGAACGTTGTGGATTTAAAATATTGGTAGCGTCTTTGTTTTATTTTGTAAATATCAATTTTATTATTTCATAATTACAAGTATTAACATTATGATTTGTATTATCATAAACACTGACACTAATAGTAGAATAAAAACGGATTAAATTGAATGCTTTTGTAGTTAATTCCAAATTGTAGGCAACTTTTTTTTCTTTTTTTCAAGAGTCTTTTTAAGCAAGTAGCCACGATATGCAAGGATAAAGTGTGGCTGTCATAAAAAATGAACATAAACAATTTTTGATGCAACTCGGTGCCCTGCAAGGTGAATTATAGTATACAAAGGTAAACTTATTCAGGAAAATACATTCAGATATACAGTACAATTTAGATTGCAAAGATCAGAAAATACCACAAAAGCTTTTGGCCCTTTGATTATATATTTTTCTCAGGGATGCTATCCTGGTGATCCTGAATGTAGTGTTACTAAACAGACTTCAACTATGAAGATTACAACCAGATTTCTTAGCTACGATGATCCGAAATCGTACGTACTTCGTCTTGTGGCACAAAGCGCAGGGACTCACGAAATCTGGAAAGGTTACGTCCTCGATGATATTGTGGTAAATAGACAGATAACATTTTTTTTTCAATCCTTTTTACATACAAGGAGTGTCATAGATATTAAAATGTTATAGATTTAAAACAAACATTCTGATAAATTGAACAGTAACTTTATATAAAATGCATTTTAAACGAAATAAGGCGTATTAAAATTGGTTTCCCAATAAGTGGTCGTGTATTCATCCGAAACGTAAACTATAGAAAACCAGTCTTCCATAGTATCTAGTTGATTTATTGTAAAGCAATGAAATACATAACAATTTACCGTACATTTATATTTATTTTCGTTTAAGGTAATCATTAAAGATGATGTCAATTTCCAAAACAAAGTTTGTTTTTCACATGTAGATCCTCATATGTATACGGCAGATGGAAAGTAAATATACAACCACCTACGTTTTGTTCATATTTTGTGTTAATTGTCTTCCCGATTTCATTTCCAGATAGAACATCAGTTTTTTTTACTATGCAATTTACGTCCAGGTAAAATTTAAGTAAGCATCCTTATAGAAGTTCGGTTTGTATCATCGCGACTTCTAGGAGTTTAGTTTAACATGTTACACAAGATATATGTTAAATGGGTACAAAAATAATGACATGTGATACTGAAAGGAATATAGATATCAGTATGGATTATGGGAAAGTTAGGAAGATTGGAGTTTTCGACACAAGTCACAATATCAATAAATGCTTGTGCACAATCTTACTAAGAAATATGAAAAGAAAGGACAATGGAAAACTTAAAAAAAGTATTCCGATTTCTTTTAAATTCCCGAACATAAAGAAATAAAAAAAATATATATTTCCTGTAAATTTAAATAAAACGTGTTGTAGCAGCTGAATTGATTTTCGTTACAGATCATATGAAAACAACGACTTTGCTGGAGAGTTTATTTTGTACAGAAATACAGTATATAATATAGAGGTATGATCTTTATGTCCTTCACTGTTCTCGGTAAATATAGTTTGATTGAATCGTACATTAAGCTGACTAATGAAGATTCATCTCTTGGTCATTAATGTTTTTAAAAAAAATCAAATTATTTACTCTATGACATTCATGGAATTGGTCGAAGTATTGAAGTATCAGACATTGCCAGGAAATAGGTCAGAAACGTTAAAAGGAATGAGGAATTCTATGATTTTGTGCATCTTTTTAGTCAAATCAATACATACATGTAGATACCCCATAGCATATAACATACAGTGCACATCAAGTGAAAAATGTGGTATTTTTCATATTTGTAGATCCAGGAGAGAACAACTTCGTGTTTTTCTGTGAATAGAAGACCTTTCTGTACTTGTGCAGTGGCAGTACGTGCTGGTGGGGATGTTTTCTTGATAAATTTGTGTAACGATCTAAAATTTATTGGCATGACGGCATGTAAAGATAATGGTGCTTTAGTCATCCGATTGCTGGACCAGTTCAATTATCAGGTTCTTAAACAGAAAACAGTTTGAATTCTAACTTAAATTAATTCATTGCAAAAAAAATGGTGATACATAAATATAAAAAAAATATTATATTGCATTATATATTATCGTCATAAGTTTTCATAATACATGTACCTTTGCCGATACAAACCATGTATCGATATTAATTGAAACGCAACTTGTATTGCTTAGTTCCAGAAAGAAAGAAAATACCCGTTCAATTTCAGGTGGAAACAAACATAGGGACCTTGTAAACATACGCATAAGACCTTATCCTAGATATATTGAGTTAATGAACATAGATATAGTTTA